CAATTTGGACTCCAGACCAAAGGACAAATTTCCATCGGTCTAATGTCCATTTCTCGTGTTTCTTGGCCCAAGCAAGTCTCTTCTTCTTATTGGTGTCCTTTAGTAGTGGTTTCTTTGCAGAAATTCGACCATGAAGGCCTGATTCACACAGTCTCCTCTGAACAGTTGATGTTAAGATGTGTCTGTTACTTGAACTCTGTGAAGCATTTATTTGGGCCGCAATTTCTGAGGCTGGTAACTCTAATGAACTTATCCTCTGCAGCAGAGGTAACTCTGGGTCTTCCATTCCTGTGGCGGTCCTCATGAGACCCAGTTTCATCATAGCGCTTGATGGTTTTTGCGACTGCACTTGAAGAAACGTTCAAAGTTCTTGAAATGTTCCGTATTGTCTGACCTTCATGTCTTAAAGTAATGATGGACTGTCGTTTCTGTTTGCTTATTTGAGCTGTTCTTGCCGTATTATGGACTTGGTCTTTTACGAAATAGGGCTATCTTCTGTATACCCCACCTACCTTGTCACAACACAACTGATTGGCTCAAACGCATTAAGAAGGAAAGAAATTCCACAAATTCACTTTTAAGAAGGCACACCTGTTAATTGAAATGCATTCCAGGTGACTACCTCATGAAGCTGGTTGAGAGAATGCCAAGAGTGTGCAAAGCTGTCATCAAGGCAAAGGGTGGCTATTTGAAGAATCTCAATTATAAACTATATTTTAATTTGTTTAACTTTTTTGGTTAAAACATGATTCCATATGTGTTATTTCATAGTTTTGATTTCTTTACTATTATTCTACAATGTAGAAAAACCCTTGAATGAGTAGGTGTTCTAAAACTTTTGACCAGTAGTGTATATATTATTATTTTTAATACATTCTGTAATATATGTTGGAATGTATTTAAAAGTTATTAAATATTGTTTGGTGCCAATTTCAAATATTTCACATATATCCCCAAAAATGTATATAAAGATATATTTTAAATGTATATATTTTTTCGTATGGGGGAGTGTCCCGTGTGAGCTAGAAAATGGGACACGCAGGCTTAGCTACCTCACTGAAGTAATCAGGTTACACTAATATGTTTGTTGACATTGGTTCACATGATGAAGACTGTTGTACTTCTGAGTTTACTGGTCAGTAGTGTCATACAGTATATAGCAACAGGTCCCAACAGTCTTTCTCAGAGGTCATCATCGGATCATATAAGTGGGAAGGAATTTATGTGCAAAATAGGAGTCAGACATAATAATTATCTCTTGACCCTCCTGCTCACACTTACAGTATCTATTGGAAAACTATTTGAATTCATTTTGGGTCCTTGTGCTTTACATGAGGTACAACAGTAGACACAAAGTTCAGGCAAACTAAACTATTTATTTCTTATCAATTGAATTGAAATATGATTCAGACACAATAAACATTTGTCTTGTCTTGTCCCTTCTCTATCTAGTCTTAGGTCTAGTTAACTATGTGTATGACACCACCTACTGGTGGCGAGTACTCGCTGACACTACCTACAGCAGATGACGAAACCAGGAAACCATTCAGCTGGGGGAACATCCTCCACCACCACACCATTAGCACACAAACAGATGTACTTCCTAACCTTATGTCCTCAAGCGCAGGTCTGGAAACTGAGGCCATCTCTGTAGGGATCTCACTGCTGGGCCATGTGGGAGTGACGTAGGAAAAAGCATAATACCAATGACTGTATTGAAGGAGGAGGGCCTTCTTCAAGCAGCCTGTGTTTCCTGTGCCCAAAGGGGGAGCCAGATTCCTTTCATGAGCATCTGTGGAGCTGCATCTGCACTGCCAAAGGAGAATGCCCAACATTCCCAGAATATGAACACATACCACTGTAGATTAGATTAAAGCAGGACTTCTATACAGACTACTTATAGTCATAGCATCTGTATGATGTATTCAGATTATTACAGGAGTTTGGGGTTCTAATGAAATTTATCTCTTTAAGGCTACTGATGTCATTAATAATTTCAAAGAGCCATGACCAAAAACAGAGAAATACCAAAACATTCCAAACAGCTCAATCATTTGAAGTTAGGAATTAATTTGAGAGGCACTGTGGCGGGACAAAACATGGCCAAATAAAGTATAAGACAGATTTCAGTTACCTCAAATTTGACATTCCCTATGCTGTTCAAATGTCACCTGCCACAAAGGTAGACAAGAAATGGATCTACAGTGGCGAAAAAATGTATTTAGTCAGCCACCAATTGTGCAAATTCTCCCACTTAAAAAGATGAGAGAGGCCTGTAATTTTCATCATAGGTACACGTCAACTATGACAGACAAAATGAGAAAAAAATTCCAGAAAATCACATTGTAGGATTTTTAATGAATTTATTTGCAAATTATGGTGGAAAATAAGTATTTGGTCAATAACAAAAGTTTCTCAATACTTTGTTATATACCCTTTGTTGGCAATGACACAGGTCTGTAAGGTTCTGTAAGTCTTCACAAGGTTTTCACACACTGTTGCTGGTATTTTGGCCCATTCCTCCATGCAGATCTCCTCTAGAGCAGTGATGTTTTGGGGCTGTCGCTGGGCAACACAGACTTTCAACTCCCTCCAAAGATTTTCTATGGGGTTGAGATCTGGAGACTGGCTAGGCCACTCCAGGACCTTGAAATGCTTCTTACGAAGCCACTCCTTCATTACCCGGGTGGTGTGTTTGGGATCATTGTCATGCTGAAAGACCCAGCCACGTTTCATCTTCAATGCCCTTGCTGATGGAAGGAGGTTTTCACTCAAAATCTCACGATACATGGCCCCATTCATTCTTTCCTTTACACGGATCAGTCGTCCTGGTCCCTTTGCAGAAAAAGCCCCAAAGCATGATGTTTCCACCCCCATGCTTCACAGTAGGTATGATGTTCTTTGGATGCAACTCAGCATTCTTTGTCCTCCAAACACGACGAGTTGATATTTTACCAAAAAGTTATATTTTGGTTTCATCTGACCATATGACATTCTCCCAATCCTCTTCTGGATCATCCAAATGCACTCTAGCAAACTTCAGACGGGCCTGGACATGTACTGGCTTAAGCAGGGGGACACGTCTGGCACTGCAGGATTTGAGTCCCTGGCGGCGTAGTGTGTTACTGATGGTAGGCTCTGTTACTTTGGTCACAGCTCTCTGCAGGTCATTCACTAGGTCCCCCTGTGTGGTTCTGGGATTTTTGCTCACCGTTCTTGTGATTATTTTGACATTTACATTTTAGTCATTTATCAGACGCTCTTATCCAGAGCGACTTACAGTTAGTGAATACATATTTTTTTATACTGGCCCCCCGTGGGAATCGAACCCACAACCCTGGCGTTGCAAACGCCATGCTCTATCAACTGAGCTACATCCCTGCCGGCCATTCCCTCCCCTACCCTACCCTGGACGACGCTGGGCCAATTGTGCGCCGCCCATGAGTCTCCTGGTCGCGGCCGGCTGCGACAGAGCCTGGATTCGAACCAGGATCTCTAGTGGCACAGTTAGCACTGCGATGCAGTGCCTTAGACCACTGCGCCACTCAGGAGTACTCCCCACGGGGTGAGATCTTGCGTGGAGCCCCATATCGAGGGAGATTATCAGTGGTCTTGTATGTCTTCCATTTCCTAATAATTGCTCCCACAGTTGATTTCTTCAAACCAAGCTGCTTACCTATTGCAGATTCAGTCTTCCCAGCCTGGTGCAGGTCTACAATTTTGTTTCTGCTGTCCTTTGACAGCTCTTTGGTCTTGGCCATAGTGGAGTTTGGAGTGTGACTGTTTGAGGTTGTGGACAGATGTCTTTTATACTGATAACAAGTTCAAACAGGTGCCATTAATACAGGTAACGAGTGGAGGACAGAGGAGCATCTTAAAGAAGAAGTTACAGGTCTGTGAGAGCCAGAAATCTTGCTTGTTTGTAGGTGACCAAATACTTATTTTCCACCATAATTTGCAAATAAATTCATAAAAAATCCTACAATGTGATTTTCTGGAGAACTTGCACAATTGGTGGCTGACTAAATACTTTTTTTTCCCCACTGTACCTTAGAGCAGACCTGGGTTCAAATACATATTTCTGTGTATTTGAGTATTTTCAAATGATTTTTGCCAAATCAGCTACTTTAATTTTAAGTATTTGAAAGTATTTTGAATAATTATCTATAAATAGCTGAAACTATTTAAAATACTTATTTCCAAATACGTTATTTCAAATACCCCTAGGACCAAACAGATCTGGGGACAAATGCAAGGAGTATTTTAATATTTGTATTTGAAAATATACTGGTCTGTGTATTTAAGCATTTTCAAATACATGCCAATACTTTTCAAGTGTATATCCAAATACATACTTCAAGTGTTTTTGTAAGTAATTGAAATACCCTAAATAGTATTTGCACACAGGTCTGCCTTAGATATAAATTAATTAGGCTAGATGTAAGTATACAGTATGCTACTTATAGTGTATGCATGTGTTTGCATCTTTGCTATAAACTGTAACATGAACATGCATCTTAGCTTTGCAGTAAACATTCAACATTGCCATCTGTTGGTTACATGCTGTACATTATACTTTATGGCTACTGAGCTCCAGCAAAGTAAACATTAAGTTGAAAACATAAAGGAGGTGAAAAACCTCAGGATGCTTTTAGAATCCTTTTAAGAGGTGAAATATCATGCTGGGTTAGTTGGAGAGGATTGGAGCAGTGGAAAAGAGGCCTCGGCAGAACAGAACCTCAGGGAGTATAAGGTAATGGAACAACACACCCGGGTAGAAGCACACTATTGTAAGGACTTGGGCGGCTACCTGATCTCTCCTTGGCTGCAACATTCCACCCCCTTTGAATAAGCCCTGGGATTTTATGTAGCCACTACTGAGCTCTCTGTTTTGTACACTAGTTTGTTACCTGTGCTTGTAATTCCTGGACATTATACTCAATTTGGAGAGCCTCATCGTACAGTTTGTTTATCTAATGACATAGTCACACTGTGATAGTGGTTTAAGCATATTTGTCCTTTTCATGTAAATGGAAAAAAGGAGATACCCATACAAAATGTCATGAAGTATTACTGCTGTTACATGTCATTATAATGTTGTGAAGGGGATCCTTCTGATATTCTATTAACATAAATAGACACACAGCAAATTGAAGAATCCACAAGTGTACATTTATTGAATCAGTAGATATTACATGTTGGCAGTGTACACCCACAGAGAAAGTCTGGCCACATAGCATATTTCCGTATGAAAGGTGCCTTTCTCAAGCATTTGGCTGCCTCCCTGTCACATTTGCAGAGAATCTTCTCACATTTGTCCTTGAGATCATCTGGAATGAAAAGAGTGAGTAGGTTCCTTCAATGACAGCTGATGGGAAAGGAGTGGTCTGTGGAGGATATGAAGGAAACACTCAGAGGTTTAGAAATGTTAGAAAATGTCTGATGCACAAATAAACACTGTAAAAATCCTGAATGGTGTTGCTTTTCCCATGTGCTTTTGCGATTAGCAATTATGGTGAGAGCTTAAAATAACCGAAAATGAGGGTGAGAAATGATTCCTTTCTGCCCATTCCCTCCTAACCCTCCCATCCCCTATAATGTCTGCAGTGTTTGTAAACTATACAGATGTTTGTTGATCACACATCTGTTAATTTCCATGCACTGAAAATCCCATTCATTTTTAACAGCAAAGCTATACAAAAATGACAAAGTCACGGCATGTAGTATTTTCTTTCTCTAAATGTCCACACCTGTGTAAGGGGAGGGATAGACTTATTCAGCTTGATTGAATCATTGTCTCATTCATGTGCATAAAAAGGAGATGGTATACCACATTCTGCAGTCTTGTCCTCACATGTCCATTGATACTTTCTTGTCTTGGTTTGGCAACCAGCAATGTCTGCATCTCCATAGCAGCAGTCATGTTTGTGACAACACCTTAAAGAAGGCAAAAACACACTACTGTAACACTTAAAACAGGACATTATAAGAACTATTTGCTGTCTCAGTGATGCACTACATAAGTAATACAGGCCCTTTTTCTAGTTTGAAAAATACCCAATTAAAACTATAACTGGATTAATAATGTTTGAGAAACTATTAACTGAAAAGGCAGAGATGGCATTTTTCCATATTATTGTAGCTTGGACCAACCGCAGCTCTATTTAAAACGACAGGAAATGAAAGAGGATGGGCTCAACTATTGTTGGTTGTGATGAGGTGGTGTTGAAGGAGTCAGGCGCAGGAGGGTAAATCACAGAATAACATTGGCTTTAATCCGCAAAATACCAGGTTTACGCAGAAATGCGTCAAACACACTCCAGGGCACAAAACAGGCGCACTGGAAAATACAAGGCACACGGGAAATACTCCTGTCGATACAAAATACACGAGCTCCACCGAGCTCCACTAACCTCCACAATAAACAATCACCCACACAGACAAGGAAGCAGAGGGAACACTTATACAATGACTGATGAGGGAATAAGGACCAGGTGTGTGTGATTGAAGACAAGACAAATGGAGTGATGATAAATGGATCGGCAGTAAGCCGGTAACGCCAAACGCCGGAACCTGCCCGAACAAGGAGGGGAGGCAGCCTCGGCGGAAGTTGTGACATTAGTAGGCAGGCCTGTGAGAGATAGGCTGGAGGTTCTGTAGTTTAATGGTTTTGTGGGAGTTCATGTCTGTGATTAGTGGACAGAAGGATGTTATGGTAAGGATTTTGGGCGCTCCGCTGGTTGTGCATATCTATTTTCAAATATCCAATTGGCAGGAGGGCAAAACCTAAAAAGAACACCCAAAATGATACACTTTGCAGTTTGAACTGCATCACATAACGCAGGTTGTTATTGTGGCCAACCAGACTGAACAGTTGATTGAGGGGTTTTTCATTCAGTGGTACACTAAATGATCTGAGTTTGTTATGAAATGGCACCCCCCAAAAAACAAAACAACATGTTTTTAACATGTTTATAACACATCATTACAACTATATAGCTCAGTAATACATAATCAGCTTCACAGAACATGCCAGACTTTTACATAACATCTCATCACGCTTCTGTCCTACTGCCTCACCAGTCTGCTTTATCCCTGGGCCAGCCCTGACCCCCCAGTCCACAGTAGCAGCCATACATCATATAAGCCAGGGCTGATCTGCCCGTGCTGCACTTGATGACTCCTGCCAGCTCCAGTAGGCCCTCTCTTAGTCCGTGGGGGCCTCTGCAGTGCCATAGAGGCCATTACCACTGCAAAAACAACAACAACAACAGAAGAACATGAAACTCAGCTCTTCACGTGTACACCAATCACGTGTACACACATCTTGTTCAAAATGTGCACTTGCATATACTTGTCTGTATGTAGCAGCCTTGCTTAATATGTGCCATTTGCTTCATACTATCTCTTTAGTCATTTGTCCTGTCATCAAGTGAATATTGATAAGTGGAGATCTGTGATTAGTCTCTCATATAAAAATGATTTTGAATGTCTAAGTTTCCAAAGTGTCTGAATGGAAATGCTGTATTATTACAAGTCGTGATGACAACCTAATATTGCAATTGCAAGCCTGGAGAAGTCCCTCACATTTTCCAAGAAAGATGCTCTTTGTATTTGGGAATATTAAAGATGAATAAAGTTCATATTCAGTTAAGAGTGATAAACACAATGCTTAGCAAATGTATATGTTTTCCCTTTCTGTCAGACACATGATTTCCAGTGTTCTATTTGTGACACTCATTTGTGTACGGGTTGATGGTCACTAGACTTGTTACTGAATGTTATGGATTGTTCTCATATCGTTTGATAGTGATTGACACCAGAGTTAATGAAGGTATAAGGACTGAGGACACAATGACATTATGAACACTTTGATTCTGTAGCAGCTGGCAAGTCACTGTCTTGTTTTGACTTTGTACAAGCCTCTAGAGCTGATGTTCAGAGAACATTTGGTACTGTCTGATTAATATATAAGTACCTTCTCAGAGAAGGCCCGTTCAACGTTTTCTATGCTTCTATGCTGGGGTGTCTCCTTGTTGCAACTTGTATTAAACCAAATGTATTAATGATTGACTATAATTTCTCTGACACTGATATTTTTAGACAACCATAGCTTATGAAATTAACCCCCTTTCCCACAATACAAAACAATTTCACACTTTGTATGGGACTTCTTTACTTTTTGTTCAGCTGGAAATTCTTTTCACACTCTTATACTCTGGTCTAGTTCTATAACCTATTTTCACAGATCTAATTAACATGAAATTGTCATGTGCATATTAGTTGTCATCATACAAGACATGACAATTGACATTGGTACAGATGAGCTCTATATAAAGATCACAAGATTATTGAAATGAAATGAAAGATTAAACCATTTCAAGATCATACAGTTGTATTCTTGTGTGAAATTAAGGAGTTGAATCATCAGAATCTAACAGATCTAATTTCCTTTCATGTTAGATCCCTGAAGGCACCCATAACATTGTCCTTTAACATTACTTCACTCCCTCTCAATCCCTCTTAATTATTCCCTGCAAAATGTGTTAAAAAGTTAAAGAAATTCAAGCAGCAATTTACCAGAGAACAGCAGAAGTATCCGATAAAGTGCAGGCATGGTGTGCAAGAGGGAGTCTGCATGCACTGCTGCTTATTTACACTCTGGTGTGGAGAGTTTTTTTTAGAGTCTGGCTTGAATAATCTCCTAAGGATCACTCCCTCCTCCTCTCATGACGCTCTGCTGTAGCCTAATCCTTGAACACTGATCTGAACTTGGTTTGAGTTCCCTCTCTGTTAGAATCAACCCAGAGTCCATATTTTAGTATTATTTAAAGCCAATTGCTCAATGACTTTTGTTCAGATTCTGGAAGACCAAGGACTTCAGTTCAGGACTAATGCCATGTAGAATACTAGAAGTAGGTCTACTTTATCAATAAATTAATGTCTGTGGTCCTTGTTTTATCATGTCAACAGCCTTATAGCATGCAATTCCTCACAGAAACCATGTTCATAAAGGCCCAGCAAGTCAACTGTGTCAAAATGTTGTATATCAAATCAAATCAAATTTTCTTGGTCACATACACGTGTTTAGCAGATGTTATTGCGGGTGTAGCGAAATGCTTGTGCTTCTAGCTCCGACAGCGCAGTAATATCTAACAAGTAATATCTAACTTCCTTTCATGTTAGATCCCTGAAGGCACATTGTCCTTTAACATTACTTCACTCCCTCTCAATCCCTCTTAATTATTCACAACATATACCCAATACACACAAATCTAAGTAAGGAATGGAATTTAAGAATATACACATATATGGACAAGCAATGACAGAGTGGCATGGACTAGATACAGTAGAGTATTATAGAATACAGTATATACATATGAGATGAGTAATGCTAGATATGTAAAGATTATTAAAGTGACTAGTGTTCCATTTCTTAAAGTGGCCAGTGATTTCAATAGGCAGCAGCAGCTTCTAATGTGCTAGTGATGGCTATTTAACAGTCTGATGGCCTTGAGATAGAAGCTGTTTTTCATTCTCTCGGTCCCAGCTTTGATGCACCTGTACTGACCTCAAAAAAGGCAGTGGCTCGGGTGGTTGATGTCCTTGATGATCTTTTTAGCCTTCCTGTGACATCGGGTGCTGTAGGTGTCCTGGAGGGCGGGTAGTTTGTCCCCAGTAATGCGTTCGGCAGACTGCACCACCCTCTGGAGAGCCCTGCGATTGCGGGTGGTGCAGTTGCCATACATTTTAGTCATTTAGCAGACGCTTTTATCCACAGCGACTTACAGTTAGTGAGTGCATACATTTTTCATATTGGCCCCGCGTGGGAATCGAACCCACAACCCTGGCGTTGCAAGCGCCGTGCTCTACCAACTGAGCTACAGGAGGCGCCATACCAGGCGGTGATACAGCCCGACAGGATGCTCTCAATTGTTCATCTGTAAAAGTTTGTGAGGGTTTTAGGTGCTATATTTCCGTTCATAATTCATATGAATTATAATATTTATTTGTTGACATTTCAAGATCTCATCATGTACATTGTACTGTAATTTCATAGCTTACTAAAGTAAAAAGTCAGATCACACAGTTTGTGGTCAACAGGGGGCCCTGTTTCCTCGAATAAGAATGGAATTTAGCGAACATGAAAAACGTCAGGCCAGAGACCAGGCCACATCATGATTCGTGTCCCCAACACTCAAGAAAGCAGTGATGCTGGCCGGGGAACAAATCATACATCTTAAGCTGTACTAATTTAGGTGTGGACTTTTTGACATCTAAATATTTCTTAAGGGTGAGCATATTTTAAATGTCATTTTTTGTAAGATAGCTAACTAGCTAGATAGCTAACATTAGCTACACCGCTAACAATGTAACGTTAGCCATGTAGCTAGCTCACTTGCATATCCTGCCCGACACACGTTACTGTAGAAAAATGTACAGGTACTAGTGAACGTCATCTTTAGCAAGCAAGTAACTGTACACTTTATAGCAATGGCTAGCTAGCAATCACATTGCATACTGTTGTGTTTAGAATATCAATATATTTATCATGCCCGACCGGTTAGTCTAATTTAGTTAAGTTAGCATACCTTGGTTGAGGTATGTTTTTTCGACCTAGACGCTAGCTAACTAGCTAGGTAGTTACATATGTCCATGCGTATCGAACATTTCCTCTGACGTTATTGTGTTAACTTGTGATAATGTACACTTTATAACGTTCGTCCAGGACCAGCTCTTCCAACTACTGTACTGTATTGTTGATTTTTATAGCCAGACTAGTTGTCAATTGTAAGCAGACTCACTTTAGCTAGTTAGCTTTATATCTTCTCGAAATATTGACAGATTACGTTTAACTAACGTTAACTAGTGAAGTCGACAGACAGGAAGTTCAAGGCATGACGAAGTTTAAAGCCATGGGTTTTCGAGGCTCCCGTGTGCTTTGTTGAATTAGGAGCACGTGAAGCCACAAAAGTAATTTCACCTGTCTAACGTTATACACATTCATGATGTGAATTGTAGTTAATGAGTGAGTAACTTAATGAAAATTCATGTTTGGATGTATTCGTACTGTATGCCAGGCCTAAGATAAAAAGGTTTTGACAATGATACACTTTAGCTCTGAGTAGGCCTAAAACATGTCAACTAGCAAGCTGACTAACTTTTAAATTACATATTGTGTTGACAGAGACTTAAAGAAACAGGTGAACATGTCAATCCTGTGTCAGGACCGAAGCAGTCGCTGGCAGGATATTCAGAATGGGCTGCAGTTCATCCAGTGAGTATGATCAGGACTCCCCAGTCCAAGTCGGTGTACCCAGGGAATGCTGATTGGTTGAGTGCATAGGGAAATCATGCAACAGAGCTGTTGTCAGCCACCAAAGGATGGTCTTGGGGGAAGAGAATTACAATTCATTTTCACAGGAGACAGCCTAAGTGTTTGCATAGTGGTAACTGCCTGGAACTACAACAAGTCAGATGTTGTTTAGCAATTTCTCGATCTTGTGCCTCAATGTGAGTAATATTGAAATTGTATTATTTGGGGAAAGATTACTCCATGATGTCCTTGAATGGTGTAATACTTGAAAATGCTCATGTTTTCAACGTCAAGGAGATCTAAGTTTAAACTTGTTTGTTTCTAGGTCAACTCTGCCCTATCCTGGAACTCAGGAACAATATGAGGTGATTATGCAATCAACCCAAAGGGCAGCACCTACATTAATGACATATGAAGCTCAGAATGCACCTCCATATTTTGGTATTTAGAAGTTCAATTTGTTTTTTCAGGTGTTCATTCAGGACCTTGTGAGGAATCTGTTTGGTGAAGGAAATGATGTGTTCAATGAAGGGGAATGGATGCGATCTATAGAAATGTACACTGAGGCCTTGAGCATAGCAGAATATGCAGACTCGGAGGACATCAGTGTATCTACTGGAACGTTGGAAAAGCTGTATGCCAACCGAGCTGCTGCTTACTTGAACATTGTACCGGTAAGCCAGGTTTTGTCTTACATTTATGAAATTACTATTATTTCTATTTATTTTCTGTTCAAATAGTGGTATAATTTGTGAAATTTTTTTCAGGGTCTGCATGATGAAGCACTAGTAGACTGTGAGAAAGCTCTTCAATTGAATGAGGGAAACCATAGAGCTCTTTATAGGAAAGCCCGAGCCTTGAAAGAGATGGGCAGGCATAAGGAGGCCTATGAGGCTGTAGCGAAGTGCTCCCTTGCAGTGCCTCAGGTGAGACGGCAGAGAAAATATACCATGTGAAAAGGCTCTGTAGATTGTTAGTTTTACTGTCTTAAGTTCATAATCCTTATTGTCAATATGTGATTGTTCTTTCAGGATCCTAATGTTATACGATTGACTCAGGACCTTGCCAAAATGTTGGGATTGAAAATCCGTAAAGCCTATGTCAGGAGTAAGGTGAGAGTGCACTGTGTTGAGTATGAATGGGCTGCTTCAGTATGTGGCTTAGTATCTAACCTTGTGACATTTCTTTCAACAGCCTGCCTTAAATGTTTTGCCTGGATCAAGTTATTCAGGTGCATCCAATGACAAGGTAAAGGGAAGGGAATTCAATTTCTTTGTGGCAATCTGGACACAATACAGATTACTTGCATCAAGTGAACGTTTTTTATTTGTTTCAGTGTCATGGATCTACATCTGTGGAAGATATAGAAATGGGTAAGACATTCTGTGATTTAGTTTGAGTAATTTACTTAAAGGACCAGTGCAGTCAAATGTGATTTTCCTGTGTTTTGTATACACTGAGTATACAAAACATTAAGAACACCTTCGTTCCATGACAGACTGACCAGGTGAATCCAGGTGAAAGCTATGATCGCTTATTGATGTCACTTGTTAAATCCACTTCAATCAGTGTAGATGAAGGGGAGGAGAACAGTTAATGAAGGATTTTCAAACGCAGGAGGTTGGTGGCACCTTAATTGGGGAGGACGGGCTCGTGGTAATGGCTGGAGTGGAGTCAGTGGAATGGTAGAAACCATGTGTGTTTGATGCCATTCCATTAGCGTTGTTCCAGCCATTATGAGCTGTCCTCCCCTCAGCAGCCTCCACTGTTTTTAAGCCTTGAGACGATTGAGTATGTGTGCCATTCAGAGGGTGAATAGGAAAGACAAAAGTTTTAAGTCCCTTTGAAAGGGGTATGGTAGTAGGTGCCAGGTGCACCGGTTTGTGTGAAGAACTGCAACGCTGCTGGGTCTTTCATGCTCAACAGTTTCCCGTGTGTATCAAGAATGGTCCACCACTCAAAGGACATCTAGCCAACTTGACACAACTGTGGGAAGCCTTGGAGTCAACATGAGCCAGCATCCCTGTCGAACGCTTTCGACACCTTGTAGAGTCCATGACCTGACGAATTGAGGCTGTTCTTAGGGCTAAAGGGGGGGTTCGCAACTCTATTTGGAAGGTGCTCCTACTGTTTGGTATACTCAGTGTATATTTCTACACTGAGGTTGGAATAATACTGTGAAATTATGAAAATTATAATGCCCTTTTTAGTGTAAGAGCTGTTTTGGTGGGATGGACTTTTGGCCTGCCTGGCTAAATTGGTTAATAGACCAATCGATAGGTTGGCTGACATCACGTAAATGATGCACGCACATCGACGTGGCTGGAAGGCGTGCGTTGTTATGATTCTGAATGGTCAGATGGCTAGTAACAATGACAAGAAGCTGCCATGTGTGGAATTGTAGTAAGCTCGCTTATTATTGTTATTGATACCATGTCTTTTTTTGAGGTGTTTTGACTGTCATGTCTATGCTAATATGGCAAAAAAATTGCTAGCTAGATAACCAACAAATGTAACAATGTATACTGAACAAAAATATAAACGCAATATGCAACAATTTCAAAGATTTTACAGAGTTACCGTTCATATAAGGAAATCAGTCAATTTAAATAAATAAATTAGGCCCTAATCTATGGATTTCACGACTGGGCAGGGGTGCAGCCATGGGTGGGCCTTGGAGGGCATAGGCCCACCCACTTGGCAGCTAGGCCCACCCACTGAGGAGCCAGGCCCAGCCAATGAGAATGAGTTTTTCCCCACAAAAGGGCTTTATTACAGACAGAAATATCCTCCGCAAACAATCACAGTAAGTTACTTAGTTGTTACCCAGAAATGATTTGATAATGAGATAAAAACGGCTGCATTGGACCTTTAAAGAGGGAAGGTCTTGTTGCAAAAAATAATCTGTTTGCACTTTCCACATTCCCACCTGTGTTGTAGAAGTGAATCAGCCCCCTCAGGAAACTGGCGGTCCAGACGCGGCCCCCCCAAGCCTAGACCCAGTGGCAGCCATGAAGGTGCACCCCCCTCGGAATGAGAGAATGGAAGGTGAATCCCCCCCTGTCAGCATCATCCCTTCAGTCTCACCTGTTGAGGTTCACACCCCAGAGCCCATTCATGTTCCGGTGCCCCTGCCTATGCCCATTTCCAAGCCCATGCCCTTGCCTACGTTGGTCAATGGTGCCAGAGCCAGCCCTACCCAGTCCTACCATTTGCCAATGCAAAAGTCTCGTCCGGACTTCGATGCGGAAATCATTGGAGATGACCTGGATGATCTGCTGGACCAAGCTGGCCCCGGCTCCACAGAATCTCCCATGGTACGTTCATGGAAGATTGCTGCTAATGTAGGAAAACATTATTTTATTTTTTTGCACATTAAATTATAGTTCTTTATCTGTTTTTGTTTTAATTCTGAAAACCATGTTAAAACAATATCTAATGGATTGTGTTGTTCTCTCTCCTCTAGGTCATTCCCACCATGAAGGGGCCAATCCCTTTTCCAACCAGTGCCCCCTCGAATTCCATGTCTAGTCCTTTCCTTATGCCATCTCACATGAACCCCTTTATGCATGTGGCATCACAGTGCACAGTGACTCTGCCTCCTCCCTACCACAAGCCACAAGCCAGCGGGTATTCTTTAGGTCTGGACACCTTCAGGGTCTCCTCTCCATTGGATTCACTGGATAGTCTCTCCATGTCAGAGCCTCAGACAGGTATGCAAGGAGTTGCATACAGCCAGTTTAATGGTAATACCTCTCGAATGTGTTGAACATTAGTTATTATCCTTATATCTTATATCTGGGGTGGCTCTTGGGTACTGGCTCTTGAGAGCCAGTACCCAGTAAGCTGGTTCGAATCCCGAGAAGACTAGGTGAAAAATCTGTCCATATGCGCTTGAGCTAGGTACTTAACCTTAATTGCTCCTGTAAGTTGCTCTGGATAAGAGTCTGCTAAATTACTAAAATGTAAATAATTTCTTGTTGAATAGTGAAATCTCAATGGCTAACAAATTTGGATTTTGATAAAACAATAAACTGAAATTTGATTTTACTTTTCATAAACCTTTTGTCAATGCTGTCTCTGATGTCTTTTTATTTCCCCCCCTCCTAAATCTAGGATATAGTCAGCATCCGTTCATGCAGGTGAGTCTAGCTAGTCTAGTCTTCATGTCCCACTGATATTTTCACAATAGTACCTTGTGTTCATATGTCGTTTAGTTTTTCTTGTCTGTTTTAAATAAATCATGATATATTTTCCCCCCCCTCCAGTTGACCAACCACGATAAGCCGATGGGAATGGCCCTGGGGATGCCAGATGTAACCCCCCATCCTGTTGTGGATCTGTCCAAAAATCCCCTGGCTGATACTCATGAATTCAAACAGGCATGCTCAAACTGCTATGTCAAAACTGGTAAGAACATGCTTCATGTAAATAACTGCATTCAGTTATTTAATATAAACGCAACAATTTCAAAGATTTTACTGAGTTACAGTTCATATAAGGAAATCAGTCAATTGAAATAAATAAATTAGGCCCTAATGTATGGATTTCACATGACTGGGCCAGGGGTTTATTTCAGCTCATGAAACATGGGAACCAACACTTTACATGTTGCGTTTTTATATTTTTGTTCAGTGTAGTTGAAAAAGGCTGTTTTGCTTATTGTGAGACATCTAAGAGTATGAAACTGGGTTGATAAATGGGTATGGGATGTGAATGCTCATGTTGATATCCTATCACTAGGGCTTGGAGTGTTGGATTTTACATTCTATACCGAAGAGCACAAATGCAAGAAGGACATATTACTTGGAAGGATAAAAAATCAACTAGACAAATCATGGAAGCTGATCAGACCCAGACCGACAAAATCCCAGTATGTCGGGCCTTACTACATCTGCAAAGGTAAGCCTCAAATATTGCTACTAACTCCTCCAATGTGCTTCATGGTCCCTCTGTGCCAGTGTTCAGCTACCTATGGAGATTATTAACCAAAACGATGACCTTGTAGATGTCGCCATTGGAGAGGGGTGCAGGTACCCTGGTCACTGCACGTTTGCCTACTGCCAAGAGGAGATTGATGTTTGGTCCCTGGAGCGCAAAGGCTTCATCTGCAGAGACTTTCTCTTTGATCCATTTGGACCCACCAGTAAGATCAATCTGACTGTCCCGAAGATCCTACAGGAGCATCACGGGATATTCATGTTCCTCTGCGGGGTAAGTTGGGCTTTTTAATGTAAAAAACATGATATGTTCCTCCTGTAATGGGGTGTCTTCATTGATAAGTTGCTGAGTCTGACTTATTTGTATTGCCATTGTTGTGCTAGAGCAGACGGGGTGCACAACTCTGGTTCTTTAGTGCTGCAGTGGATGCTTGGATTTGCCTTTTAATCAGCCCAGAGTAATAGTGTGTGGACTCTAGACAATCAATTATATTAAGTGTCAGGGAGAAATGAAAACCAGCAGGACTGATGACCTCTCAGACTGTGTTATAGAGGGGAAGTTTGACTTGGAGTTTCCCTGATCTAACCTCTAGCTGATAACATGACTGTAACCATATCCTGTATCCTCATTATTCTCATGAGCAATAGAATTCCACGGTAACAATGATGCTGAGACTATGATTTTTTTTCTGTTTTAAAAGTATGCCAAACTAATGATTGCAAAGTTAAACAAACCATACACATCTATGCACAATTTCCACTGATGATAAATAAAATTAAAAACATTCACTTGAAGAACAGTGCAGATGCAAAGTTTGGTAAAATAATTACGGTTTGTTGTTTTTGCTGTCATTCTGTTACCATGGAATTGCCCTAATACAACACTAATGTTGAGTGTCATATTACTGCATCTGGCATATAACCTTCAGTGTCAGAGTTAAGAATGGGAGCTGTGCCCTTCAGTAAAACACTTGACCTTAGTAAAACCTCTACTCTGTGTACAGTGTCCTGTAAGTTGTCCGTCCCTCTAATGTATCTGATCTGATCTCCAGGTGTGTTTTGATCACAAACCCAGAATAATCAGCAAAACCAATAAGGACAACCCATCTCTTTGCTCTCACCTCGTGACAAAGCATGCCTTTGACGATCAGAAGTAAGCCATTTCACTTGTTTAAACATGCTGAGAGAGATGCAGAGGTTTTTAAGTGAATTAAGCAGCGGTCTACCTTGTAAGTGATGGTTTGTGGCTGACCGCTCCTGTTCCTTTAGTAATTAAAAACTTTCTTTATACATTGAAGAATGTAGGAGTGTTTTTTGTTTTTTTGCCAACTACTGTTTTTTGTTGAGTAAGCCCATTGGAACTTGATTATATGCTCTGCACAGTGGGGTAGTGAACTTTATACGAGTTGTTGTGCTTTCAGGTGCCTGGTCCACATTCTGAGGGAGAACACTGTGCGCTACTCCAAAATCCGTCCGTACAGTCCGCAGAACCAGATGGACATCTGTCGGCATGAGGTGCGCTACGGCTGCGTGCGGGAAGATGAGTGCTTCTATGCCCACAGCCTGATTGAGCTGAAGGTGTGGATGATGCAGCACCAGCTAGGTAAGCTGTTACCACCTATTAAAGGTGCCTTCAAATAGCATCTAATCAAATAATGTTATTGGTCATTCAACAAGATTGCTTTTCTGAGTATTTAAGGAGCTTCTGGTAACTTTGTGGGTTTTCTAAGTGAACATCCCTCTTAAAACTCTTTGCAATCTGTTTATGATCATATAGGCATCACTCCTGAAAATATTGTCCAGGAGGCCAATAGGTTTTGGAACATGGAGGCGGGCTCCCAAGGATCCCTGGTAAACAGTCATTGTACACAACACTATATTCAGAAAATGCTTTATTTCCTAAACATATTTCTAATGTTCATTTGACTGCAGATTTTCCACATTACCTAACACAAACCATTTATTTTGTGTCATTCCAGCAATTCACCACACCATTGAAGAGGTTTGGACCCCCAAATCTGAAGATGCAGTTTGTGTGTGGGCAGTGTTGGAGAAACGGCCAACTTAGTGAGGCAGACAAGAACAAGAAGTACTGCACTGCCAAAGCCAGGCATTCGTGAGTAGTTCTCTCCCCTGAAACCATTTGAGGATCAATTTGAATAATGAGCCTTGTCAGCATAGTAATGTGCATCTGACCTGTGTTGCAGGTGGTCAAAAGACAAACGAGTGGTGCTGGTGAGTTCCATCGAACGCAAGAAGTGGACAACGATCCGCCCTCTCCCAACAAAAAAGCCCATCCCATCTCAGTTTGAGGTAGGCCTAGCAGGGCTGCAAAATGTCCGACCACATACTTTGCTGACTCGAATGGGAATCTCCCAGAGAGGATCATGTTTTGTCCTCATGTAAAGTGCTTATGTTTTGTGTGTGTTTTATTTACAGATTTGCATGCACGTGTCTACTGGCAAAAAGTGCCAGTACATCGGGAACTGCACATTTGCACACAGCACAGAGGAAAGGGACCTGTGGACATACATGAAAGAGAACAACAGTGAGTTCATGTTACAGATGGACTGTAGTATTTGTACAGCAGTTCATGCCTGTGTGATGGACAATACATGTATTATGATGAGTAATACAAAAAACTTAATCAGATACTATACTGTGTGTCCATTTAGTTCCAGACATGGAACAGCTATATGAGCGCTGGCTGCAGTCTCAGAAGCCTGGCTGGAGCGAGGAGGCCTCCAACAGCGCCATCAAGGAGAATGGGAAGCAGATCCACATGCCCACAGACTATGCTGAGGAGGTGGTAAGCAATCTCTGTTTTAACCACGTCCAGATGATTATATAACTTTCAACATGCTTTAAGTGACCACAAACCTTCAACATGCTAATATCATCTTGATGATTTCTGCTTTACTAGGCTGGCAACCACTGTTGGCTTTGTGGTAAGAACTGCAACAGTGACAGGCAGTGGCAACAGCACATCACCTCAGAAAAACACAGAGAGAAAGTGTTCAACTCTGAAGACGATCAGAACTGCTGGCAGTATCGCTTCCCCACTGGAACCTTCAGAGTTTGCGAGAGGTAAGGTTTCTATGCTAATTCAATGTTTATTTAGGTCACTGGTGCCTAATTTGATTACTGGAAATGGTGTTATTGGTGACTGACATTTCTGATACGGCATCCATTTCCACAGATACCTTAAAGGCACTTGCACAGAGGAGGAGTTGTGTAAGCTGGCTCATGGAAACGAGGAACTAAAGGAATGGACGGAGCGCAGGGAGTTCCTTTTGATGAAACTGGCCAAAGCAAGAAAAGACCATCTTATAGCCCCAAATGACAATGACTTTGGCAAATATAGTTTTCTGCTTAAAGACATAAAGTAATGATTTGATGACAAGGATTATGTTGGGATGCAATATCTTTTGCAGTAGTAAGTAAGGTAAAGGGTCAGGTACCTTGGAGAGGCTCTAGTCTACCATTAAGAGGAGAGATGCCGTGCACAGCTTGATTTTAATGGAAAGTACAAAGATTGTCATGTGCTCCAAATGATCATGGCTGTATTCCTTTTATCACAGATAAAGAGATGCACCATTGCCTTTTACGCAACGTAGCGATCATTGACGTATCACAAAGATTGGTTGTCATAAAATGGAGTGATGACCTACTCAGAGAAGCCAAAGCAGGGGTAGACACTATCAGAACAGCTCTTCTGTCGTGGGTGACTTAAAAGGCTTGTTTTGTATTTGCGTTTTTAAGAAGGGTTCTTATGGACTTCCCTTTTCTGTTTTATACGATTCATAAGTTTGAAGATTGGAATGTTTGAAATGGAATTCTGCATCCTTTCACAAATTCTGTTCATGTAGGTCTTTTTCATTATTTCCATAATTTGTTGCATTTATGCCTGTTGGTTTCGGAAGATATGGACCAACCAAAATAAAATCTTGATTTCTTATTACAAGTATTGATTTGGTATAGCAGCCTAAAGAATGTAGGTTGACATTCTATGCAATGTGCTTAGTTGTCATGACCAATCTAAAATGGAAGAACTTTTGCAAAGCTTGATCAGTGGTTGAATGTGTTAGGAAGGATAACATGGTTTGTGGGATGACAATGGTCGAGTTCCTGCCTGACTACATTCCAGATGCATTCCAGATCTTACATCTCCTGAATAGGTGTCAGCTAAACACACAATTAGCGCATTCCTCTGCCCAGGCGTTGCTGATGCCGGCCAGATCGTACAATGCCTGGATAGGTATATTAAATATCAGCTAACCACATTGACTATATATACAGAAGTATGTGCAAACCCATTCAAATTAGCTATTTCAGCCACACCCATTGCTGACAGGTGTATAAAGTCGAGCACACCGCCATGCAATCTCCATAGGAAACATTGGCAGTAGAATGGCCTTACTGAAGAGCTCAGTGACTCAACGTGGCACCGTCATAGGATGCCACCTTTCCAACAAGTCAATTTGTCAAATTTCTGCCCTGCTAGAGCTGCCCCGGTCAACTGTAAGGGCTGTTATTGTGAAGTGGAAACATCTAGGAGCAACAACGGCTCAGCCATGAAGTGATAGGCCACACAAGCTCACAGAACGGGACTGCTGAAGCTCGTAGCGCATAAAAATCGTCTGTCCTCGGTTGCAACACTCACTACCGAGTTCCAAACTGTCTCTGGAAGCAATGTCAGCACAAGAACTGTTCGTCGGGAGCTTCATGAAATGGGTTTTCATGGCCAAGCAACCGCAAACAAGCCTAAGATCACCATGCGCAATGCCAAGCGTTGGCTGGAATGGTGTAAAGCTCGCCGCCATTGGACTCTGGAGCAGTGGAAACGCGTTCTCTGGAGTGATGAATCACGCTTCACCATCTGACAGACGAATCTGGGTTTGACGGATTTTCATTTAAGTCATTTAGCAGACGCTCTTATCCAGAGCGACTTACAAATTGGTGCATTCAACTTAGGATAGCCAGTGGTACAACCACCCTATTTTTATTTATTTTTAATGGGGGGAGGGGGGGTAGAAGGATTACTGTTATAAACGGATGCCAGGAGAACGCTACCTGCACGAATGCATAGTGCCAATTGTAAAGTTTGGTGGAGGAGGAACAATGGTCTGGGGCTGTTTTTAATGGTTCGGGTTAGGCCCCTTAGTTCCAGTGAAGGGAAATCTTAACGCTACAGCATACAATGACATTCTAGATGATTCTGTGCTTCCGACTTTGTGGCAACAGTTTGGGGAAGGCCACGTCCTGTTTCAGCATGACAATGCCCCTGTGCACAAAGCGAGGTCCGTGGTTTGTCGAGATTGGGTTGGAAGGACTTGACTGGCCCTGACCTCACACCCCATCAAACACCTTTGGGATGAATTGGAACGCCGACTGCGAGCCAGCCCTAATCACCCAACATCAGTGCCCGACCTCACTAATGCTCTTGTGGATGAATGGAAGCAAGTCCCCACAGCAATGTTCCAACATCTAGTGGAATGCCTTCCCAGAAGAGTGGAGGCTGTTATCGCAGCAAAGGGGGACCAACTCCATATTAATGGCCATGATTTTGGAATGAGATGTTCGACGAGCAGGTGTCAACATACTTTTGGTCATGTAGTGTATGTTATAGCAATCTGTCAGTCGACACCATTGGTTGGTGGATGCGTGCCATGTCTAAGCAGGGGAACGTGACCCATATGATATACAGTGCCTATAGAAAGTCTACACCCTCCTTGGATTTCTTCACATTTTATTGTATTACAAAGTGGGATTCAAATGGATTTCATTATTTTTTTATGATCTACATAAAATACTCAGTCAAAGTGGAAGACAAATTCTAACATTTAAAGATGAATGAAAAATTAAAAACAAATCTACATTTTAGATAAGTATTCACCACCCTTAGTCTTTGGCAGCGATTACAATTTTGAGTCTTGGTTAAGTCTCATAAGAGCTTTGCACACCTGTACTGTGCAATATTTGCCCATTATATTTGCCCAAGCTCTGTCAAGGTGTTGGTGATCATGGCTAGACAGCCATTTTCAAGTCTTGTCATAGATTATCAAGCAGATTTTAAGTCAATTGTAATTTGGCCACTCAGGAACATTCACCATCTTCTTGGTAAGCAACTCCAGTGTAAAACTGGCTTTGTGTTGTGGGTTATTGTCCTGCTGAATGGTGAATTCCTCTCCCAAGTGTCAGGTGTAAAGCAGAACTGAAGCAGCTTCCCCTCTAGTTATATCCCATTTCTTTTCATCCTGAAAAACTATTTTGTATGATTTGTTACGAATTACAATTTGTATGATATTTGACGAATTGCAGTTCGTCACTATGTTACGAATTTGCAAATGGATATGTTATGAATTGTTGTGGCTAATGTTAGCTAGGTGGCTAACAGCTAGGCTAGGGTTTAAGGTTAGGTTAAAGGGTTAATGTTAGGGGAAGGTTTAGATAACATGCTAAGTAATTGCAAAGTAGCTCAAAAGTAGTTGCTAATTAGCTAAAATGGCCCGTGATGAGATTCAAATGTGCAAACTTTGGGTTGCTAGCCGTTCGCGTTACACAACCACCCTCCTTTCGTGTTCGCCGTAACCTATTTTATGTAACCTTACCAAACGTAACATATCGTACTAATTTGAGTGTCCCGGATTTACATTTACTATGTTAGTCTGAGACCAGTATGCTGTAGCTGTTTTAAAAATCACAAATGGCCTCATGGTGACATCCCTAAGCAGTTTCCTTCCTGTCCTACAGCTCAATTCAGAAGGACAACTGCATCTTTGATGTGTCTGGGTGATTTAATACATAATCCACAGCATAATTATTAATTGACCATGCTTAAAGATATATGAAATGTCTGATTTGTTATTGTTACCCATCTACAGTTTACTGCCCTTCTTTATGAGGCTTTCGAAAAGCTCCCTGGTCTTTTTCGTTGAATTTGTGCTTGAAATTCAATACTTGCCTGAATGACCTTACAGATGTACTGTCATGATTTAACTGGATATGAACCCAAATGCAGACAACTACACCGAGCCAGAGAAGGTTTAACAGGTTTATTTACAAGGTTCAATTGTCCAGGTTTCCAAAAATAGGGGAAGAGCAAGTCCAGGTTTACAGGGAGGGTAACAGATCCAGGTTCTGAGCAGGAGTGGTACCGTAACGTCCTAGTGTCCGTGGTGAGTCCAAAAGGGAGGTCCGGTAGTGGAAAGCAGGATGGTGGTGGCAGGAGTCAGGTTCCAATAATCTGTGGCACAGGAGAAAAGTAAATAGAACAGGCCAAAAAAACACAAAGAGCGAAAACAAGCAGGTTGAGTCAACAGCGAGACTAACATGGTCGTCTTGACTATGATCTGACGATGAGTGGCAAGTTTGACCGGGTCTTAAAGGCTGAGGTGATTATGGTGAATGAGCTGCAGTGGAACCCTGACTCCCGCACACCAGACTTCACTCCTGCAATCAAGAACAGACAGAGGGGAGGGGGAGAGCAGAGAGAGAGCTACCTAGCAGCAGTAGGCCTAACATGTACAGTGGGGGAAAAAAGTATTTAGTCAGCCACCAATTGTGCAAGTTCTCCCACTTAAAAAGATGAGAGAGGCCTGTAATTTTCATCATAGGCACACGTCAACTACTAAGATTTTTTTTCCAGAAAATCACATTGTAGGATTTTTAATGAATTTATTTGCAAATTATGGTGGAAAATAAGTATTTGGTCACCTACAAACAAGCAAGATTTCTGGCTCTCACAGACCTGTAACTTCTTCTTTAAGAGGCTCCTCTGTCCTCCACTCGTTACCTGTATTAATGGCACCTGTTTGAACTTGTTATCAGTATAAAAGACACCTGTCCACAACCTCAAACAGTCACACTCCAAACTCCACTATGGCCAAGACCAAAGAGCTGTCAACAGGACACCAAAAACAAAATTTTAGACCTGCACCAGGCTGGGAAGACTGAATCTGCAATAGGTAAGCAGCTTGGTTTGAAGAAATCAACTGTGGGAGCAATTATTAGGAAATGGAAGACATACAAGACTACTGATAATCTCCCTCGATCTGGGGCTCCACGCAAGATCTCACCCCGTGGGGTCAAAATGATCACAAGCTGACCTGCAGAGAGCTGGGACCAAAGTAACAAAGCCTACCATCAGTAACACACTACGCCGCCAGGGACTCAAATCCTGCAGTGCCAGATGTGTCCCCCTGCTTAAGCCAGTACATGTCCAGGCCCGTCTGAAGTTTGCTAGAGTGCATTTGGATGATCCAGAAGAGGATTGGGAGAATGTCATATGGTCAGATGAAACAAAAATAGAACTTTTTGGTAAAAACTCAACTCGTCGTGTTTGGAGGACAAAGAATGCTGAGTTGCATCCAAAGAACACCATACCTACTGTGAAGCATGGGGGTGGAAACATCATGCTTTGGGGCTGTTTTTCTGCAAAGGGACCAGGACGACTGATCCGTGTAAAGGAAAGAATGAATGGGGCCATGTATCGTGAGATTTGAGTGAAAACCTCCTTCCATCAGCAAGGGCATTGAAGATGAAACGTGGCTGGGTCTTTCAGCATGACAATGATCCCAAACACACCGCCCGGGCAACGAAGGAGTGGCTTCGTAAGAAGCATTTCAAGGTCCTGGAGTGGCCTAGCCAGTCTCCAGATCTCAACCCCATAGAAAATCTTTGGAGGGAGTTGAAAGTCCGTGTTGCCCAGCGACAGCCCCAAAACATCACTGCTCTAGAGATCTGCATGGAGGAATGGGCCAAAATACCAGCAACAGTGTGTGAAAACCTTGTGAAGACTTACAGAAAACGTTTGACCTGTGTCATTGCCAACAAAGGGTATATAACAAAGTATTGAGAAACTTTAGTTATTGACCAAATACTTATTTTCCACCATAATTTGCAAATAAATTCATTAAAAATCCTACAATGTGATTTTCTGGAGAAAAAAAATCTAATTTTGTCTGTCATAGTTGACGTGTACCTATGATGAAAATTACAGGCCTCTCATCTTTTTAAGTGGGAGAACTTGCACAATTGGTGGCTGACTAAATACTTTTTTCCCCACTGTATGTATGGGAGACAGAGGAAGGGGTAGTCATTCAAAAATATGTCAACCCCTGTTATTTCACACAGAGTGTGGGTCCATATAGGTTTTGATTTTTTAAGCCACATTTTACTTTAAACTAATTTAGGCTTGCCTATACAAAGGGGGTGAATACTTATGCAAGTACTATATTTTAGTTATTTCATTTTGTAACAATTTGTAGAATTTTATTTTCACTGACATTATGGAGTATTTTGTGTAGTTAAATGACAAGTAATTACAATTAAATACATTTAAATCCCACTTTGTAATGTAACACAATGTGATAAAAGTTCAATGGGGTGTAGACTTTCTATAGGCACTGTAGCAGGTCGCGTTCCCCTGCTCAGACGTTGCATGCACCAACCAATGGTTTCGTGCCACATCATCGACTGTGTCATCGACTGACAGATTGCTATAACATATGATGTGGTTAGCTGATATGTAAAATACCTATTCAGGCGTTTGTAAAGTTTGGCATGTGTCAGCAATGCCTGGGCTGAGGAATGACCTCTGTATTTTGGGTTTGTCCTAACTCTAACTGCTGTCAGGCTATGTGGGAGACGGTGAATCATCCCTCTGCACTGGTATGGCATTTGTTTATTTATTTATGTTCACAAATGTGATGGTCACAAATCTGACAAATGAGAGGAACAGGCTCATGATGTACATAGACTGAATTATTGCAAAAATATTAATTCTCACTTCCTGAATCAAGCTTCAAAAGCAAATCAACCCACTTATTTTGTAAATCTGATCCTAAACTTCAGATACATTTTGAGCCTTCCAATGAAGTCTATGCAGACTGCATATTACTTATACAGGTGGTCATAAACGTGATATAGGTAGTACTTTTAAATGTATACTGTATCTCACAAGCTGCCAAACTCTCAAAACAGAAGTGGGGTAACAGTCATCTAAAGTTTTAAAGCAAAACTTATTGGAACCAATACTATTACTATTTGTATAATCATATAAAAATCTACACATTTTCACATTATTTTGATATTTCTCCATCTTATAAACAGCAATAAGAATAACTATCAACAATACATACATGTTAGGAATTAATCTAAAGGTAATCATAAGGCCTATGGACCGATAACATTTAAAGTTGATTTGGAAATGATACAATGGTACATCAAATGACAAAGAGAACAATAGTCTTCATTATGTTATTTTCATTTCATAATACTTTATAACATTGTTTCATCAAATATCAACCTGCTCAGCTACCATAGAATCTGGCCAACAGGATTTCCAATGTTGCAACTGAATATAGAAAATATGTAATTGGCTCTTGGTAGCTTCTTCACAGGACTTCTCAACCCATGTCAGTTGTAGCAGCTACTAAGGGTTGTAGCAGCTACTAAGGGTTGTAGCTGCTACTAAGGGTTGTAGCAGCTACTAAGGGTCGTAGCAGCCACTAAGGGTCGTAGCTACATATGAGGACACCGAGGTACAGACCTCGCCTACATTTTTTTAGGAACAGTCGGGGTCTCAAATTACTGTTGAGAGTTAGAATAGTAGAATACACAAGGTGCAATTTCGAACTTCGTGGTGCATCAGCAGTTTCCCTCTTGTTATATGTCACTCAATTAGCCCATGTCAGTTACATGTTTTAAAGATTGGTAAATTAGTCTAGCCAGCTATGTAAACGTGTAGTAATCATGGCCAAATTTTTGCTGTTCTCCAAATAGTATTTTAGAGTGTGGACCTCACTAAAACTCAGACCCTGGACCCTGTTGTGCTTGTGAAATGTGATGTTTTATCAATGTCTGGTTTTAGTTGAGGCCTGTTCAACCACAGGAGAAAAGAATCAGTATTTTGTACAAGATTATTTAGTAAGTAGCAGCAACAACAGACATATTCGGAAGTGAATCACACTTTGTCTCTTTGGGCAAATTTGGCATTTAGCAAATTATTAAAATTGTTATTAACTCACATTTGAATATTGAAGTTAAACAAAAGTTCAACTTTGCAACAAACAAATTAAGCTAATTTCTAATAATTTCTGAGTAACTTGACATAAAGTAAATTGTTTTGTCATCAATTTGTCATACATTATTCCAACAAGCTCTGAAGAAGGTTATGCCCACTCATTTGCTCAGAGCGCTGTCTAGTGTCTACCGTCACAATTCAGTAATGGATTGCTGAGTTAACAAAAAGTACCAACATCAATCAGATTTACATTTTTGTGTACAAAATATGTACACCTATGAAACATAACAATGAAGTGTTCACAACCTCACATCCTGACTGGGATCCACACAGTGGAATGACAAACAAAAATATCACATTTCCTCATGACATTGAGCTGCAGTCCGTTTATCATCCTTGTTGATGATGATGATCAGCAGGAAATGTGAATGAGGGGCTCCACTTGGTTAATATTAGGTGATGACACGGTTTCTTGATGGCTCAGTTAAGTGTGATTCTCAGTGCCGTTGTGGGCGAGCTTGGTTTTGTGCTCGACTTGAGGGCCCCTGTTGGAGTACTGTACCATCAGGAAGGGCTCCTTGGTCTCGCCATCTCCCACAATGCTCTCCTCATCTTCAGACTGGCCAATCCGCTGCAGGAGCAGGTAGCACCAACATCCGCAGATGAGAACACCGAGGGCAGCAACAGCAATGAGGATCACTACGATTGTCACCACCCCAGTAGTGGGGCTGTGGTCTGTGATGTACATGTTGCAACAGGAAGGTGACTCAGAGCATTGTCACAGAACAGGGGACTTGACAAGGACAGTGTGGTATGATCCCTTGCTGACTCTGGTGTCTTATAGTTCTGCTTGGGAGACCTGGGGGTCACAAAAAGCAAAGAATGTTGAATATTTTACATTTTAAAAAATAACAAAATAAACCCTGTTGTCAGTGCTTGTATCTGCACATCTGAATCTGTTTACTTTGTGTTTACAATGAATCTGCTGACACAACCATAGACGTATGTAATAGGACTCAACACAGAATCCTCTAACCTCCAAATCCATCAAATAAGCAAAAGGCTTGAAATAATTTATTGATACAAAATTAAGTTGATAGCCTACCACCCTGTGGTAGGTAATCATATATTATCTATTGGCTATATTCTGCATAATAGCGTATGGAAATTGCCTGGAAATATACTGCAGGTAGCAATAATGAACTATGAACGGAACGCCTTTATGACATCAATGCCAACGCATCTGATAACTGTGCACTCTGAATCATTGCACATTAATATGCATTTATGTATGTACATACATGATACATCGGGTCCTAACGAGAATCAAGACGCACTAGCTGAGATTCCTTACCATTCCATTGAAACAGACGACGGGATCACGTGTCTTCATCAATGCGCTATGCAGCAACAGCCCTGCCTGTATCAATACATAAAATGCATGGCTCTTCCGAATGGAACCGATTTCATTCGTAAAAATTCCCAAAACAGTGTATTTAATACACTAGTAGCTACCCATGCAAGAACGGAATTTCAAGGCCCCTGTTTCAGTGCAGGAAATTAGATCATGTGATGCACAATATATCGAATCAAATTTTATTTGTGCTGTCAATCTCTATTTTAAAGCAAAAGTAGTAGCTAGATTATCTTCATTGACAACAAAAAGTAAATGTTTAAAAAATATATCACTTAATTTTTGTCTATGGACATAATTTTGAAAAGTTATAGTTATAGGAGCTCATAGATGTGCTACTGTGTTACCTTCTTGGTCTCATATCAGTCCTAGCTCAATGTCATGCAAATACCCGTAGACGCTCCAGACCAAAATATCACGTGATACATACAGGACGCTTGTTCCTGGAAGTTGCCTCGAGCTACTGTAAAGTAGCATTTTGTTTGGACGTCAAGAAACAGGTTAATTAGCCAACTTTGCTTTCGCTAGGTAAGGAAAAGCTAGTTAGCGTAAGTGTTTTTTTTCTTCTAAAAAGTATGTAGCTACAGTACACTGATACCTTGAGCTCTTGTAAATATTAGTATTAGCTAGCAAGCCGTCATATTTTTGACAGCCATCGATGACGCCTCTCTCACTCAGTCTCGTTTTGACTAGTTAGCTAACCGAGTTGTAGCTATTTGCCCAGCTAGCAAGCCAGCTTGCTTGCTGAATAATTGTAGTAACATGGGCCCGTTGGTCTATAGTCAGTCTTTCACAGGTGCCAGTGGCCACATATGTTTTGGCTAGCTTTCGAAGTTAGGTATTGTCCTGACAAGTTTGTTTTGCTTTGTAACTTAGCTAAGTTAGTTTCCTAGCATACTAGCTAGCTAGCTAAATTAGCTAACAATAATCTAGCCAGACGCGAGTCTTGAGTTACATAACTAACTACCCTTTAATCCAACTACCTCACTAGCATAGTAATTATTAATAATGTTATCATGTTTCATGACTCTTGTATACCTGTTGTATAACGTGGGTTTAAAAGACCCATGTAATAGGATTAAGGTATTATTATCTAACGTTACAGCCTGTAGTTACAGCTGTGACTGTAGCCATGTAGACCTGGCTATCTGATTGTAGTTTATTTACAAAATGTGCTAAGAAATTATGAATCTATCGACCTCCAGTCATTGCAATATAAAGTTAAGGTATGATTTGGTTTTGGTTTTGTCTTTGACTTTTTTTTTTAGCTGATTGCAAGACATGGCAAGTGCACCTCCAGTGGAGACAGCTGGATTTGTGGGGCTCCCTCAGCCACCTTCCTATGAAGAATCAGTGGGTCCTCAGTACCAGGGGCCGGTGCTTCCTCCTGCCTACACCAAATCTACACAGTATCCATACCCAACACAGCCCTATAGTCAAATATATCAACCAACGGCTCACAGTACTAGCAGTCCAATAGGTAAATAAAATCTTCATCACATTGCTTTCACTATGCTGTTCCCTCTTAGGTTGAACTCTCTAGACACACTTGGCTTGAGACAGCTCAAACTGGGCCATCCAAAATGCACTCTTGGTTTCAAATAATCTCAAGTAGCCTAATCCCTATTTTAAACTATTGGTTTGCTTTGCACTTTTAACACAATAGTCTTGGAATCTGATAGGTCTTGATGGATGTTAATAAACAGTGTCTGTGCAAGGGACCTAGCTTATCTCTAGGAGGCTACGTAATGAACGTTAACTTTGAATTTCCTGTTTGGTGATTAACATTCTTTGTTCCTCAGTGTCAGTTCAGACCATTTACGTCCAGCCGGGTGTGGTGTTTGGGGATCTTCCAGTGCAGACGCATTGCCCTGCATGTGCCCAAATGGTGATCACTCGGCTGGAGCACACCTCTGGAACAATGGCCTGGTTAACATGTGCTGGCCTGTTCATTTTCGGGTAAGATTAATTTATCAAGAGTCCCCCTGTATGGTTGTTCATAGTCCTGAAAAGTCCCATTTTGAATGGGCTGCATAATCTGATCTTTTGTTTTTTTCTAGTTGCATCTATGGCTGTTGCCTGCTTCCTTTCTGTGTGGATGGTTTGAAGGATGTGACACATCGATGTCCCAACTGCAACAACGTCCTTGGAGAACACAAACGGCTTTGATAATGCCATTTGAAAAGAGTAGTCTCTCTATTGAGCATGCAACCTTGCAGCCTGTCTCTATCTTGAATTGTCTAATTACAAATACTGTGTTAAACATGCATATTTTGATGATGGTCATCATGTAGTCTACATCAGGGGTACTCAACTCTTACGCTATGAGATCCGGAGCTGCTGGTTCTGTTCTACCTTATAATTAATTGCACACCACGTCTAAATCAGTCCCTGATTAGAGGGTAACAATAAAAAAATGCAATGGAACTGGCTTTGAGGTCCAGAGTTGAGTTTGAGTGGTCTATATATTACCTTTATTAAGAGCTTTGTCCACTAGATAACTATCTAGATAATTTGTCAATATTGCACTTTCAAATGAAGGATTCTATTATATAATTGTATATATGCAGTCAGTTTAAATAGTAATGTGCACACAATGTTGGTAGGGTAAGACTGGTTGATTATTGTAACTGTACATTTTTATAGGATCTATATGTATCTTTCATAATCCAACTGCAACATGACTACCTGTTAAGACTACCTTTTTATACAGTCTTATTGTGATGGTTACTGGTAAGTGGTAAGCAAGCTCATCGTACAAACTGCCCTAAGTAGATCCACTTGTTGAACGAATGAATGGCTTTGTTGTAAGTTATGCAGTGGAATAAGTATTATTTTAGGATGTTTTGATTGATTGAAATCCAGGCACCTTTGAGCAGTCCCTCAAAATAATATATTTTTTAAGTCCATGGATTCACAAGGGTGTCATTGATTGTATAGGCCCTATTTGTTTATTTTCATTCATCACATACAATTGTGTGCTTCTGTAGAATTCACTTAATGGCATTTTTTTCAAATGTGTATGTATGGCATAAGCACAAATAAATGATAATTTTACCACATTGTTCATTCTTTATAATGTAAATGATTTGTATTCTGTTTGAGTTTGTGCTTTTTTGCCCGGACTAGCTTTTTTCATCATATCCCCTCCTCCAGCACTTCTGACAGGTTTTTAGTGCATTATATGCATATATTATAGCCTAATAAACAGTGTTAGGCTATAATATATGCATATAAACACTTTCTTTCATAAAGTGTTGGGCACGTACTTCTTTGCTATGGTCCATTACCTTTGGCAATTAAATATCAGGCAGGCCAGTAACCGCCCAGAACCAGCAGCAGTCTTTACATTTTGCAACAAAAAAAAATGAATGAAAACACAAACAGGCATTGACAAGGACAACTACCACCCGAGCCACTGTCTGTTCACCCCGCTATCATCCAGAAGGCGAGGACAGTACAGGTGCATCAAAGCTGTGACCGAGAGACTGAAAAACAGCTTCTATCTCAAGGGCATCAGACTGTTAAACAGCCATCACTAGCACAGAGGCTGCTGCCTACATACAGACTTGAAAATCACTGGCCACTTTAATAAATGGAACACTAGTCACTTTAATAATGTCACTTTAATGTTTACATATCTTGCATTACCCATCTCATATGTATATACTGTATTCTATCCTATCTATTGCATCTTAGACTATGCCACTCTCATAAATGATAATGAAATTGCTCATCCATATATTTATATATCCATATATTCTTATTCTATTCCTTTACTTAGATTTGTGTGTATTAGGTTTTTGTTGTAGAACTGTTAGATATTACTTGCTAGATATTGCTGCACTGTCGGAACTAGAAGCACAAGCATTTCACTACGCTCGCAATAACATCTGCTAACCATGTGTATGTGACCAATACATTTAATTTGATTTTGATTTGATAGCAACATACTGCTGATCCTTCTACGTGAGCGTTTGCTGAAGGTCTTCCACCTCAAACTTCCACATTCTTCTGTGAATCGCAGAGCGTTCAGAGAGGTCTGCCATCTTCACCGCGCGCAGGACAGGTTCTGGAGAGAGGGCCTGGATCATCCCCATCACCATGACATAGTTACCTGGGTAAAATCAGGAGGTAACAAATCAAGGGTTTTGTGCAATTCTGTACATATTTTAGCTGCAGCTAGAAGGAAAATAAAGGTGCATCTCACCCTGAAGTAGGCATGGGTTGCCCTTAGGAATGTTGTTGACACCATTGACAACGAATGTCCCTGTCTCGTCCAAAAGAAGCACTGTGTTGTGATCCGACCGAACTTCCAGTACTGTCCCTTGCATCCAAACCACAGAGACTACAAGTGCAGTGTTTTTCCATTGTCCCAGTCTTTTTATATTACATTCGAGCTTGCCATTCAATCGATTATCTTTCCCCTCTCGGAGTTGGCTGGAAAGAACTTTGATAGGAGGACTTTTCTTATTTTGTCCTGAAATGAGCCCAGTGGAGTCCATGCAATCTGCGAGTGAAAACTTTCAAACGAGTTAGTTATAAAAAATATTCCCTGTGACCTTTAGACGTCATTGTGACCAATAACCCGGATGTTGATTTGAACGTTTTAAAATAAAAGCACCTCGGATTGGTTGCATACGTGGTGCTAACAATGGGTAGTATGAAAGATTATACATATACTGACAATGGGAGTCGTTGTCCACAAAGCAGCACGGTGGGTTGTCTAGCTCCCGCCTATCCTTTCTTTGGATTGGTGGAGACATTTCATTAATGTAATCCTGTTTGAATATTCGTTGAGGGTTGTTGACGTCAACCGCCTGTATTTATTGGAGAGAGACGCTATGCTACTAGCCTCATGCAATTAATATGCATAGCCATCTCAGATAACTCCGATATAAAGTTTTTTTCTCTCAAAGTTGCCGGGATGTCACGTGTCCTACTTATATCAGTACACTCGTAACAATTTAAGAAAGTCATATTCGATCAAATAAACCTCACGTAGCAAATAAGCCATTATTTTTTTGTTGTTGAACAAATTCGACACTCATTGGCCACCATTGGCGAAACAACGCCACCTGCTAGAGAGAGAAAGAGTTTCCGCCGAGTTGAGCCGCTCCTCTTTTTCTCTGGTATTTTCACTTGTGTGATGATGGGCATAGAGAACACAAGCTTTGTCGAACCCATTTGATTTATTTGATCCTGATTGACCCATGCAGTTTCTTAGGCCTATCACTATTTTGAACCATCAAATGAACAAAATAAAACCATGGTCCGTAAATAATAATGACATTGATGAGCAAATATAAAACTAGAAAATCAAATTGGACACTTTTTCATGAATTGAATAGTCACACCTTTCTCTCTTTCTTTGAGAAAAGCATTTCTGGCAAGTTAAAGTGAAATGTGGCTATTTTTTCCCAACCAGAGGCTCTTCTTAGTAAAACAAACAACAGAACACCCTCATATTAATTTGTATTTCTTTCCCATCCCCAATATACAAAATGAAATAAACAAAAATCATTATAAAAAAAAAAAGATTAAATAGTTGATAAATAACCTACAGTAGTGATATGAATATGATTGATTAACCAATTGAAAATACAATTGGAGCAATGGTTGATAAAACATTGCATATTATATGGCATATTTATTGCATATTGCACTCATTTGGCTGTCAAAGATAATGTCAGCTTTAATGTCTTCTTTAAAAATAGATTCCAAAAATAGATTTAATATTATGACCGTGATATGATAATTATGTAACCTGGTCTAAATTATAATGCTTCTATTGCAATGTTATAATCTACATTTGCACTGCAATGAACAAGATACCAAACAGGAAAAGCAGAGGAGCTGGATATGTGCCTCTGCTCTGGCCTAAAAGACATCGAGAGAGAACAGAAAAACAAGGTTAAGATTTGCATGTCTTCTGTCATTACTGTTACTATATGTTCCCAAACACATTCCTATACATTATAAGTACAATTATGTTTACGGTACATTACAGAGCAGATAACTAATTTCCCTCTTTGCAAACCAAATTATTTCAACACTTTCTAAGGGAATCACATTTTTAAATGGATTTAGCACGGGCGAAGCATGCTAACCATTAATGCAACGTTTGACACCTTACCGGAAGTTGTTTTGATGATGGTGGTGGCAGTAGTTGTCATCGTCACTGCTGGTGTGATGGGGGTGGTGTTTGAATCTGTTCCATTCGTTGGTACCACCCTTCCTCCGGTCAGACCGATACCCAGCTTGTCAAGCTCAGACTGTAACTGCTTTGAGACCCAGTTCTTCACTACAGTGTTATTCTCAAAGGTTTTCATGTCATTTCGGTTGGAGCCGAGGAGTCCAGACACTTCACTCACATTAAGATCCTATTTAGAGGCAGAGAATTACAGAAAAAATGATAGATGCCAATGAATTGAGTCACTGCCATCACAGGTCATTGATTAATGGTATGGGAATGAGCACATACCTGGACGACAGTTGAATCCAAACCAACAAAAGTGGAGATATCCATGCTAACATTGAGCCCAGACAGACTCCGTATGTAGCTGGTACTGGCACCTCCTAAAGAAGGGCAACGAACATGGTGAGAATGGCACAAGGGTTCTTTAAGGTCACCACGCAAGCAAACTAAATATTTGAAATAACTTTTATTACAGGATATCCAAGAAAGCATCGCTTTTCTGTATGTATCCAGAAAAGGGAACCCTTACCCAGGTATGGCTGAATGAGCTGGTAGGATGTTAGCTGATCTGCAGTGGCGCGGGTTTGGACGAAGTTGATAGGGAAGGCGATCTCAGCTACTGCAAATAATGCCTTCTTATGCGCTGAGGAACAGTTAGTGATTTCCAGAGCATCTGCATCTCTGTTGTGTTCAAAAGGCACAAGAAAAACACAAACTATGAACATGCAAAAAGAAAAGCATATGAAAATGTTCCAACATAATTAACCCTCCCGTTGTCCTAGGGTCAAAATGACCCGCCACTGTGTTGAACCAACTTTATTTAATTTTTATATTTTTTGGATCATTTGTGAGAAGGAGGCAGTGATACTTTCTTTAAAGTCTCACTGCCTCCTTCTCACAAATGATCCCAAAAATATAAAAATGTAATAAAGTTGGTTTAACACAGTGGCGGGTCATTTTGACCCTAGGACAACGGGAGGGTTAAGGAGCGTGTAGGCCTGGATCCTCTGTCGAGGTCAAACACTGCCAGAGCACAAGATAAATGTGAAGTGGAGTGACTTGCATGACTCGACCACAAGGTGTCTCTCTTACACAGCAAGATCTGTAGATGATCTTACCTGAGACTGTCATTTCTGATGCCTTGCAACACACTGGGGTCCAGTGCACATAGGTTAGGCCCTCCAATTGAATTCAGTTTAGAGGCACCAAGCGAATTGCCAGCACTTAAGAACTTGGTGACAATAACTTTGGCCTGAAATTGAAAAGGAAGAAGAAAGATACATTTAAATCGAAAAGCCACTCATACACATCTTTTAGAAGCAAAATGTTTATCATGTTTTTTTTAAACACCATTTAAAGACGTTGTTGGTGTAAAGTTAAATAACCCTACTTTGCCGGAGTCCCATTCTCCATTGTCATTGTCCATCAGTGCTGCCAGTGTGTCCACTGTAGTGATGTTCCACTTGTTGATCTGCTCTATGGAGGCCACACGAGACACTGACCCAAGCACCTGAACCTGCTGGTCTGAGAGACCTTCGGGGTACGCCTGGTGGACAAGACCACACCATAAAGAGCTGTTACCGAATGACCACCTCTTGGCAGACTTTGAGTTTGAAATCTGTTGTGATTTCCTGTTTTGTGTCAGTAAAGTTTTATACCTGGTGTAGCTTCTCCAAAATGACCTGTTGCATGCCATCATCATCTATCTTCTCAGTCAGGCTGGCCAGATTGTCCATTACTACTTGGGTGCTCAGACAGTGGTTGAACGTGGTGGTCTCATACCCAAAGGGGAACGCGTCATCACTTATGGTCACTTGAGTAATGTTGCCAAGGGAGTCTGGACATGCATTTACTAAAAAGACAAGTATCAAAAATAAATGTGATCATTCATGTCATAGAGGAGCCTCCACTATTAAACCACAGAACAGCTATATTGACCTGATATTATTTAAACCTACCAGTGCTTCGTTTGGATCTCAAAGACACGGTGCATGCTTTGAACAGCTTCTTCAGTTTCCTCTTCTCTGTCTTGTTTGTACGCAGTCTTTTCATGAATTTCTTCAGGAACATTCTTTTATTTAGCTGTGTCAGTCAAAACAGAACACATTAAGAAATAAGAAATGCATAAAAGGTAAATGAGAGCTTTTCAAATTGAGATGGGTAACAATCTCAAATTATGTGAGGTCATTCAAAAGATAGGAGTAATACAAAATAATAATGTTTACATACTGCTTTACTCATCTCAGATGTATATACTGTATTCTATTCTAATGTATTTTAGACAATGCCACTCCGACATTGCTCGTCCTAATATTTATATATTTCTTAATTCCATTCTTTTACTTTTAGATTTGTGTGTATTGTTGTGAATTGTTAGATACTACTGCACTGTTAGAGCTAGAAACACAAGCATATCGCTACACCCGCAATAACAGCTGCTAAATATGTGTATGTGACCAATACAATTTGATTTGATTTGAAAATAATGTCAAAGTGCTATGCAATTGTCATGTATAGTATACCGTGCTGATGTGTCTCCAGAAGTTTTCTCTTAAGTACAATGGAAGAATGTCAAGCTGCTCTAGAGTGGCCACATTCCATGTACTTGGGTTTCTGAACAGATAAGAATAAATGCAGACTGATTAAGACAAAATCAATCGACAAAAATGCATTCATTTTTCAATTCATGCGTATCTACATGAACACAAATCAGCACAGCTCCGATAGCAACAATGTGACATACCCATATGTGGTCTTGCCACTGCAGATAACATTCTCCATAGCTGTAATCTGCTTATCTGAGAAGTCATTGCAGTTCTTTAGTTTCTCCAGGATGTAAAAGTCAGAGTTCTGAATGTAGTTCTCATCCAGAGTACAGGCCATGTTGCCCAGGACCTCGACATGATCTCGACTGAGCTGTGTCCCTTGGATGTTCTGGAATAAATCAAATGTCGTCATAATCACTGCTTTTAAACATTCAGTCATATACTTGTGTCTTTCGTTTTGAATACATAACTTACCAGGCACTTTTTGGCATTGTTCAGTAGCTCAACCTTTCTTCCATCCAACGTGCTGGACAGGACGGAGAAGTCTGCTCTTCCTGTTTCAGTGAAGTAGGATCTGCAGTTGGTCTGTTGTATGTTGGTGTAGCTGGAGAAAAATACAAACAGTTTACATTGTCTTTATGCTTCATTTATATAGCATTTTCATTTGGTTATGTCAGCGTAATAAACTAACAGTAATTTAAACTAACATTAGTTACCCTCATTTACAATGTATTTTACAATGTCAGTGACATGACCAACTTACCTGTAATACAGCAACATATCTGATGGATAGTTGACAAAATCTTGAGGACTTTCATCTTTGACGTTGTTCCACATGCAAGTTAGCTGTAAAACAAAATGTCACTTTCTCATATGTCAGTAAAATAAGCTCCTTGAAAACAGAGAAACATATTCAATCAAAACTTGTTACTGGGTTTCCAGTAACTACTGTCATTCTTGTGCTGAGAGAATACATGCTTGGATTCATGTAGCCATGAAAAATAAATAAAAAACATTTGCATTATAATTCATACAGGCACATTAACAATGTAATCTGGAGGCCTGGCTACCGGTTTTGATTGAGTAGGGCCCTTTAGTTGATGTAGAGAAAGTTTTTATTTTTAATATTCACCTGTGTCTCCTTGAGAACCACCTTTCTTCGACCGACCCTACGTCTGCAAGCTCTGATGAAACGTTTAATTTTTGTTTTGGCGAAAGTCTGGACACGAGAGCAAGTGAATCCTTGAAGAACATACTCAGAAAGGCTATAAAGAAATCAATGGAGTACATTCATTAGAGTTAATACATTAACTATAAATGTCATCAAACCACTTTTTGTTCAAGTACATAATAAAAATGTATCCCCATGGGAAAATGCTACATTTGTATGATTTCTGCTCAGCTATTGGTCAGGACCGACATTCTCTAAACACTGTTACACTTACTCATCAGGCTCATCCAATCCATTTGCTACTGTATCAAAGAACAGCACTGCCTATAAATGAAACAGAGAGAAACAGAGGTGTAGACACATTTATAGACGTATAATACACATGTTCACCATTGTATAATTGTGTAAATGTTGAAGGTCTACACAGCTTTTGAATACTACAAACCCCTCAATACCTGCTGAGGTTTCCATTTTTTCTTGTTGATGTTCAGAGCAATGAGTGTTTGATTTCCAGTTGTTGGGAAATTCAGTAGATTCCTGGGAATTTCGGTTGCCATTTCATCTGGGACATTGACTATCAGTTGCGTTGGTGCCGTGTCATCTGAGATGATCTGAATAAGTAATACAAAAACATGTCAACATTTCTAAATGAATACTGTTATTATGATTGATTACCCTTGATTTTTTCATAACACATTTCAATGAGGCATGTAGAACCTATAAAAAGCTATTATCATTACATTAGATACACTATTATACTCATACTGAAAAATATTGGGTGGGAAATTTATAACGCCTACTTCACATCAGTTAGTCTAGCTACTGTTAGCTAGCCAAGTACATACCTTATTAACATAGATCTGTTGCACAATTTTTGGAGCAGTCAGCATGTTGGTAACAAATGTTGGGTTGGCGGATGTTGTTAGAACCTGCTTCGCGGGTATTGCGGTGAGTGTTTGGGTAGGAATACCTCCCACTAAAGAGCCCAGGTTTATTAGACTGCTGGAATTGTTTATCTGAAGAAAGAGAACATTGAATTATTAAATATCCTCTAGAGTGGAGGTAGAAAGGATGGAATGGTTTAAAGCAGGAATCATGGTTGTGAATGATGCTCACAATCAATACGCCACCAGCAATAAACCTATTAAGAAGTGAATCACCTGGAAGTTTTGGGTGATGAGAATCTGTATGATGGACAAGGACTGTCCCAAGTTCCATCCAGAAATACTGCTCAGAGTACTCAAGGATTGTAAAATCACACTGGGCGGGGCTGTAGTGATCTGGCCAGTGGTCAGACTTGTGACCTGCGGGCCCAGGGCCGTGATTGATCCCAGACTGACAATTTGGATATTCGATGCCAGTGCGGAATAAATCTGGAAGGAAATGACATCAGCAAAGATTAGGTAACAGTATCACTTAACCAATCAATGGATTGTGATAACATGGAAATAATGGCTCATACTGTAACATTTAATTTACTTGTGTTCAAAACACAGGTCTAAGGTTAAGATGAAACAAAAATGGAGACAGATCACGATGGTGCTCACCTCTGAGTCCACGTTATTACAGGATTGGTTCAGGTTGCCCAAGACAACCACACTCTCTGACTCATTGAGCTTAGAGTAAGCGGAAGCTGGGACATAACATTGTAAGTGTGGTGGAAGCCTAAAGATATGGGAATAAAACAAAAATATGAAATAAAACACTGAGTAACACTTTCTTGGATTAGAATTTCCCCATAGCGTCACTCAGATTCAATGTAGACTGTTGTCTGTTATCATACCCTTGACATAAACGCAATAAATAAAGTAAGTTAGTAACATAAAACCAATGATTTTAGTGGCTACTGTTCCAAAACTCACTGCAGTGGGAGGAAGTTGGAGTTCTGCAGGAAGATAAGCTCAGTATAGCGTTTAGTCAGATTTTGAGGAGCTCCAGCGAAATTGAACAACTCAATGTTGACAGGGTTCACGGCAAATAGTTGTAGCTGTAAAAACCAAACAAAAAGACAAACCTTTGGTTATGTATTTTTGGTAATGTATGATGTCCCTTCATCAAAACAGGCAGGTGCATAGGCTTACCGTTGACTCTGAGCCAAACGTGTTGAAGTCTTCAATGGTCACAAAGGTGATGAACACACCAATGTAGTTAAGGAACCAGGCGGTGGAGTTGAGCTTTGGGTCAGTGGGACTATAACACTTGGGTGCTGCTGAACCTACAAGTCACAAATCAATAAATATGTGTTTAATGTATTTGATGTGAGAAATCATTTTAGCACAAGTTACACCAAATCATTTTTATTAAAATGGCATACATCCTTGAGGAATATCTGTCATGAAGCAGAATTTATGAATATTCTTTGGTAACAGCCTTTATGTTGAAAAATATCCATTCATGCAATTTGTAAAGTACAATATAAATATATGAGGGTATTTTCATACATATCGGATGAACCGTTTAGAAATTATAGAAGCTTTTGTACATGGTCCCCCCCATTTTCGGGCATTGGACAGTTTAACATAATGTAGAATAAAGTAATCATTGTTAATATTTGGTTGCATATCCTTTGCATGCAATGACTGCTTGAAGTCTGCGAAGCATCGACATCACCAGACGCTGGGTATCTTCCCTGGTGATGCTCTGCCAGGCCTGTACTGCAGCCATCTTCAGTTCCTGCTTGTTTCGGGGACTTATTGCCTTCAGTCATGTTCAATTCGATTCAGATCCGGTGATTGACACGGCCAGTCAAGGATTTTCCACTTTTTGGCCATCAAAAACCCCTTCGTTGCTCTAGCAGTATGTTTGGGGTTATTGTCTTGTTGCCTGATGAAGTGCCGTCCAATGAGTTTGGAGGCATTTGGTTTTATCTGAGCAGATAAAATATTCCTGTAGACTTCAGAATTCATTGTTCTACTTCACATCATTGATGAAGACAAGTGAGCCTGTTCCACTGGCAGCCATATAGGCCCAAGCCATAACACCCCCTCCACCATGTTTCACGGATGAGGTGGTATGCTTTGGATCATGGGCATTTCTTTTTTTTCTCCACACTTTTCCAGAACTCTTGGGGCTCTTTTAGGTGCTTTTTAGCAAACTGTAATCTCGCCTTTCTGTTCTTCAGGCTTATTAGTGGTTTGCATCTTGTAGTGTACCCTCTGTAGTCCTGCTGGTGTAGTCTCCTACGTATGGTATACTTTGACACATCTACACCTGCATCCAGGAGAGTGTTTTTGATCTGTTGGGCTGTTGTCAGGGGGGTTTTCTTCACCATAGAGAGTATTCTCCGGTCATCCACTACAGTGGTCTTCCTCAGTCTACCGGGTCTTTTGACATAATTGAGTTCACCGGTAGTTTTTTTCTTGTTAATGATGAACCAAACTGTTGACTTGGGCATGGCCAGGGTTTTCGCAATGTTCCTGATTAATTGATTTTCATTTCTGAGCCTTATGACGGCCAGCTTCATTTGCATCGACACTGCTGTCTTCCTCATGTTGTCACACCCCAACAACAACCTCCAAAGGCAATAGCAAAGTCTAGAATCAATACTATTCATCAACAGCTCTCCTGTATTCACTAACGACACAAATGAATACACCTGCCTAACGACACACATCTGTGAAGCCAATTTAACAAATACTTGTAGTACCTTAAAATGGGGGGACCATGTACAAAAGGTTCTGTCATTTCTAAACGGTTCATCCGATATGTATGAAAATACCCTCAAATTAAAGCTGACAGTCTGCACTTCACCCTCATTGTCATTGTATCCTTTCAAACTCAAAGTGCTAGAGTACAAAACCAAAATAACAAAAATATTGTCACTGTCCAATGAATTATGGTGCTCACTGTATATGTATAATGTAAACTGGAGTAATCAGTAGTCAGTACTAAAACACTCACTTCCTGTGTTGAGGTAGGTCTTTATGGTGTTGTACGCATCATCTTGAGTTATGGCTGAGCTGTTGAAAGTGAGGTTGCTTCCCAGTACAGATACACTGTCAAAACCACAGCAGACAGTCATCAAACTTTTCTTCCTTTTATTCACATTCAATTATGTAGATATTTCTGTGTAATAGCATCAGCAAATGTAATGTATTTCCAGTGTGGTAGCTTACAGTCTCCTGAAGGGTAAGCAGGAGGCGTTGAGTGTGTCAGAGGACTGGAGCAGGTCTCTGTTGAGGAACTTCAGGTAGTTCCTCAGCCTGTTGTCAAACCAGCGGTCAACCTCAGCCTTGTCATCAGTGGACAGAGCCAAAGGCCAGACGCAGGGCAGGACTGGACGCATCACATCATCCGGAAGAGTCTCCTACAGACAGATAATGTTCAAAGTCAAAGGATTGAGAGAACGCACCATTTAACAGAGGTTGTTCTTTCAGTAAATCCTAAGAAATAGATACTCAGGGAGAGGGAGTGAGTGCTTGAAAATGGTGGCCACAATCAGCAGTGTGTGTCCTTACGGTTTCCAAGAACTCAGGAGTTTTTTTGTATTTTCGGAAGATTGTGCAGAGCTTAGTCTTGTTGTCCACCACCTGTGGCTTCCTGAGGAAGGTACCGAGCTCTGAGGGATGCATGGTGTTGAGCAGCTGGAAACACAGATAGCATATGATACACAGTGACTTTCTAGGCCAGAACACACTTTCCAAAAGTTGAAGTGTAGCTGAAACACGTTAAATGTACTGTACCTCAGATTCCCGCTGTGGTGGAATAAGGGAGAGGAAGTTGGTCAACTTTGGGAATGGAAAGTTGAGGAAGGATTGTCTCAGGAACACGAAGAAGCTGTTGTTCCTATAGCAACGTAGTGGAGTTGATTCTGCGGAACAATGAAATACTGTAAATTAACCCATCCCTCATTTGGTCCAGCACTAAGTCCAAAACTGCGGCCCTCAGACCATGGTATATAAAACACATTATTGTATATTATCATGTATTTAGGGAGAATTATAGAGAAGGATCATGAGAAGCTATTACTGTTACTGGTAACTAGTACTTTGTTGAGGGAAAATGTACTTGCTACGATTGTAATATGTTGTTGATCTCACCTAGCTGTCTGGAAAGATTAACCCATTTTGAATGGTAGATATCATTTTGTGCATCTCTGAGCGTTGTCTATTGATTCCTGGGGTTATTTCGTGTTTTCATGTGTATCTGAGCTATTGCCATTCAAGCAGGCAGAAATACAGCCGATATGACGAGTTTTGCATGATATGATGACATAAAACATTTTAAATACTGTAGGTCAGTTAATGGTATGACAAGACAATTCTACAGGTTAACCTATGAGATGATGACTAGGTGAATACCTCTGAGAGACATGAGGATTTGATGCTGGACAGCAGCCTGTGTGCCATTGGACAGCGATGGTAGGATCGAGTTCAGCAACTTCACTCTGTAGATGGACAGAAACCAGAAAGAGCACCCATTGATATGCATTATCAAGCACAACTAAGAGCAGTAATGTACTGTTCACGAAGGTCAGTTGCAAACATGCATCACATTATTGGAAATTATTAGTGTTTCTATAATACACTGTGCTGATCTTACGGTTCTTGGCTGGTGTTGCAGTCTCTGTGTCTGACGATGTTGAAGAGGGGGGCCACATGCTCCTCTGTCAAGTTGGGTAACAGGGGGCGGAGTCTCTGGCCCAACCACACCAGCACCTCAGGGTCTTTGATGGAGGGATCTGATAGGTTGGCATTGTTAAACACCTGCTGGAGCAGCACCTGGCGCACATCCACCGGAAGGTGAAGACCCTGAAGGACAGAAGCACATGAGAAGATTGTACTAAGCAATGGTATATAGGAAATAAGGCAGTGGTATAAGAATTGACCATAGACATCACTCATCCATACCTCAACAGCTGGAGAAACGATGTCAAAGAACTCGCCCAGATCTCTGGTAAGCACATGGATCAGTATGATGTCGACATCTCCAGGGTTTCTGAGCTGACCAGGGGTGGAGGCCACCTCCGCCAGCTGCCTGGGGCTCAGCATAGGCAGGACATCCACCTACACAGTGAAATAAGAACATGGATTCAGACTGGTTAACAAATGGCTCTTGGATGAATCAGTAAGTTCAAAAGGTCAAAATCATGAACTAGTACCAACCACTGAGAAGTTTCCATGCAGTCGTTTGAGTTCTTCTAGGGGGGCAAAACCAACAAACGGCCCAAAGTACTTTTTAAGCCAGTCAGTGCTGTTGGTTGAGTTGTTGACACAGTTGGGGTCTGAAATAATAAAAAATATTTTCAAAGACTGGAGAAAAATAGCCGTCTTTCTATCCTAATTGATTACAATTCCTTTGTCTTCACCATGCTTAGTAAAATTACATTTACAGGTATCATTGACGTTGCAGAATAATTTAAATGTACCTTCAGTGTCATTGCGCTTCAAGAAGGGCTCAATGAATTCAGTGTAGATCAAAAGCTGTCTTTGTCTGTCCATAGCTGAGTTAGCTGGGTTTAGGGTTAGCTGGTTGATGACCTAGAGCTTCCACTCTGCGAAGGCAAAGACACCACATTGAAGTACTAGATCAAGTGAGGGCAAATAGTCAACCACACTGAAATAAAATTGATGTTTTCACATACAAAATCTGGTAGGTCCCACAGGTGAAGTTCTTGGTGCTGAGACAGGACAGGAACTCTCTGGAGGCTTGTGGGAGGAAGGGTTGGAGATTCCCCAGGAACCACTTGCGGGTGTGGTTTGGACTTCTCAGGTCATGCTGACTAAACTGGTCAACTACTACCTCCCCAAGTACATCTAGCACCAGAGAGATGGATGGGCCGCTGGGCTGGTAAGACTGAACACAAAGACAACACAAAGACAACTCAGAAGATGTTCTCTTGGATAAAGACTTTTACCCACAATCTTCTGACTTTCACTTTTTACAAAGTACAAATTCAAGAAACTCTTAAAGAATATGTTTCAAAAGAAGCTGTTCAAAAGAGGACATTGTATTATCATATCCTTGTACTCCCTGACGAAGGCCATGCAGCCGAAATGCGTCAGAGTTTTAAAACTTTGTTTCCATTGAACATGGATACAAGTAAAGGCATTTTAATTAATTATATGAAGAGTGCCTTGGTCCTCCTTTCTTCTGGATGTTTTTTTACCGTGTTTGAAAACCTGTGAAGAGCCTCGTCAAGAAATGCAGAATTTTTGGTGAAGAACAACTTCCACATTTCTTTGGGATAGGTCATGTTGCCTGACAGTTTGCATTGCAGGATCTCAGAGAGTTGCTCTGGTTTTAGCTGGGTACGCTGAGAGGGCACAAAGAAACACATACATTAAGGACATTTATTTTTGGAAATCAATTCATCCACCACCTCAAAAATGTAATCAATCAAATCAAACATGTTGCATGTAGAATGTGGGTTTCATAAATACACACAATGCAGAGTGTCAAACCTGAGGTAGGCAAGCATAATGTTGGATGGTAAAGTTGCAGAGCATATGGGTCATATTCGTGCCAGCCATGCAGTGTTCCACATCAGTGCTGTGAGAAGGGAAATCATATCAGAAACAAGACATACATGAATAAACATAATTTATTTAATGTACTATAGACTATTATAAAGATGTGCTGTGTCTTTACATTTGTTATGACTGTTGTATAGGGTAAGGGGTAGCACTCACGTATTCACTCCAGCACAGATGTGGCTCTCTGCAAGAGGAGATGAATATTAATTACTATCAAAGTTCTGAGTTCAAAAAATCTGATATGGTGTTCAAAACACTGCCTCACCATTGACTGGGGGGGTCACAGAGCACTGGTGGAAAGAACAGGCATAATGTCAATCTCATGGAATTCAATTCAGTATATTTAATTCGGACCATAGTACATGTATTGTTGAAGAATACAAATTATTTTATTGAAACATAATGATAATATAATGATGTCGTTGAGATTTTTCTCACCCCAAACTTAAAGGGAACGACGTTGCAACCTGATGTAAGACAAAACCAACAACAGATGTCAGGACATGGAAAAATACTACATTGAGTCACAGCTCACAATCACATAATCATATCTAAATCCTGACTCACCCGGAGGAGCAGCATCCATTATGGAGTCCTGTATGTCTCTGATGACTGATACCAAATCAGATGGGGCAGATGCAGCAGCCCTGTCCAGCCTGTTGAATCTTTGATGAGAAATAAAAACTGATGTAATTAACTCTGCTAACATACAAAGTTGTACAGTGTGGGTGTTCTTTTTTTTCAAAAACATTCCTGATACTTACATGCTTCTGAAAGACTCACACTCAAGGTTAGCCTGTGAGAGAGAAAAAAAATCAAAAGGAGTTTAGCAAAACTTCAATATGCCCAACAAATATATAATTTGAAGTGTGCTTAAGGTAGCGACAGTACCCCTCTTATTAGCATCTGCAGGTCATGGAGGAAGTCTCTGAGTCTGGTGTCGTTGTGGAGGTGGTCAAAGACTCTGTTAATAATGTTATCTCTCTGTGGAGGTGGAGTGTGGGGCATCAGCAGCAGTTCTGCTATCTGCTTTGGAGAGAGAGCTGGCAGGGCATCCAGCTGAAAGACAGATGAGACACACATCATTGTCACACTGATGAATATTGTGCTACAAAGACATAATCACGTAGCCTGATCCCTTAAAGACATCCAGTTATAGAAATATTCTGAGTTGGTAGAATGTCATGTAAATGCTTACTGCAGAAAAGTTTCTGTGCAAATCAAAGAAGTGCTGTAGAGGTGGGAAAATTGAAAATCTCCCAAAATATCTCTTAATTGAATCCAAACTCCCATTTGAAGGACATCCCATCATATCTGAAAGAAAAGTATGCAATGTATCGTATTAGCTTGTTCACTCAGTTCAATACATTATTTGAAAAAAGACACACAAAATCAGTCCTAAATGAAACAAATCGCCATATCAAAATAAATACCTGAATGTCTGTGTTTTGAGAGGAATGGGTGAATGAAGCGTGTGTAGACCAGTTTCTGTCTCATCTCATCCATTGATGAGATGTGATCACTCAGTCCCCATGACACTGTAAGTAATGAGAAAATCAGGATTCAGAATACACACTTTTGGTATTATCAATAGGATATGTAACATTTATATTGAAGAAGATTATGAAACAAATATGTTGATGAACTGAAAAATGTATTTGTAATTGTCTTTGTGTTGTACATACAGGGCTTGGTAGGCTTGACAGCTGAAGTCTCTAGTGCTGAGGCAGGATAGGTACTCCTCTGACACTGAAGGTAGGAGGGGCCGCAGTCTGATCAGGAACCAGAAGCGGATGAAGTTCTCATCACCAAGGTTCTCAGCACTGAAGCTGTCTGTCGGAAGCTGGCCAAACAAGTCTGTGAGGTTTGGCCACAAACCCAAACTGCCATTCTAAAAGGGAAGGATTTCACAATATGAGTCACATTCCACAGTGTTATGACATTTGTCTTGACTTTAATTGAATCTCTGATGATTGAAAAGAAAGTATTCTTACCATAATTTGGTGTGGTCCTGTCAATGAGTTATCCAGTGTCTTGGATAGCTCTGTGACCAATAGTTTCAGATTTTCTCCAGTGAGGCTCAGGTTAGAATGGGGCACACATCTCAGGACCACAGCCAGGTTTTCTGCTGCATGGGATACCTGTGACAGGGGAAGACGTATCATCATGAAGTCAATAAAGATTTAAAAGGATTTTGGAATTGGAAGTCCCCAGTGCAAGAAAAATGTTAAGTTAAAGGTAGACTCAGCAATTGCCACGAGCAGCACTGCAGATGATGAGCGAGATGCAAGACTTTGCTCCCACACAGTCACATACAGTATCTGTGCATGTACATGGGTTTGCTTCACGCTGTTAGAGCCCCGTAGGTACGGGACCAAAACAGTGGGGGAGTTGAGCTTTGCGCTTCAACACTCTTAGTTGTTGCGGAAATTGACCCACTACACTCTTAGAAAAAAGGGTTCCAAAAGGGTTCTTCGGCTGTCCCCATAGGATAGCTATTTTTGGTTCCAGGTAGAACCCTTTTTGGTTCCAGGTAGAAGTATTTTGGGTTCTGTGAAAAGGGTTCTACATTGAACCCAAAAGGGTTCTACATGGAACCAAAAGCATTCTACCTGAACCAAAAAGGGTTATTCAAAGGGTTCTCCTATGGGGACAGCAGAAGAACCCTTTTAGGTTCTAAGAGTTTATGCTGTTTAATTTGTGCACCTACGTCATATCGCTGAGTCTACCTTTAAGATAATAAGAAACAATGAAAGAACAAACACCCATAATAGTAGCATTAGGAAAAATGATGCCTATCAACTAGGAGTGGCCTACTTGACGTCAATGTATTGGCTTGAAATGTTTTTGTTGGAACAGTCTAGATTGTTGAAATACTTTGGCTAAGAATCACAAAGCATCCTCTAGATAGTGATCCCCTATTGAATGAGAGATAATGAGGAGGGCTTAACCAAGGTGAACATAGTGACAGATAAAACTCACCGAGCACATATCATCATTGTTGCCAATGTGACAGACATCCATGGCACCAACCATTGAATACATTGAAGAATTAGAACCCATTGGAGGATTTAATAAGCTGAAAAATAATATAGAGGCATAATATTTAGTGCGAAATACTACTAATGATCATATTCAAATGATCGGAATCAACTAGACAAAGTCTACTAAGTACATAAGGCTAATAACATAACATATGTATTTAACTCACAAGACATGGTCGAAGACAGCAGTAAGGTCGTGTGGGATCTGAGTCTGGTTGTTGGGCTGGAAGCGTCTCAGGGCAGGGAGGACCACATGCTGGAACCAGTCCTCAAGGCTGGTGATGCTGAAGTTACTGAGAGAGGGAGTCTGGCTGGGGACTGTCTCATTCGTCAGTGTGAAGTTGGGGGAGAAGTGTCCAGCTAGCTCTGCCAGGATCCAGTTCACTACTGCCTGGGCCAGAACATGCCGTCTCTCCGAGCTCACATTTCTCTGTGGGGAGACAGTACATAGTGCATAGTACATCGTTTCAGATTGGACTTACATTCAACATTAGGGAAAGGAAATCATTTGTTCATACTTGTGAGATTGTAAAAGACAACACATACCGCTCGAATGCTGCCCACCAAGGTCTTGATGAAACTACCCAAGGGCCTCAGGAATGACAGGAAGTTGTTTAGAGTCTGCAACCATAGATTTGTGATCATTAGTTGGTTCATACTGTACATGGAGTTGATGACAGCAAAATAAACAGCCTTTTCAACATATTTTAGTTGTATTGTTTGTATATCCTTGAATTTGAAATTTGTTTGACTGTTCTTGTCTATCAGTGTTTTGTTACTTGTCATGTTTTGTGTTTTTTTGTGTGGACCCCAGGAAGAGTAGCTGATGCTTCTGCAAAAGCAAATATGGATCCAAATAAATAAAAAAGAAAGAAACACATAACCCACTCTATCAAGTTCATGTGGTCCTGTGGCATTGCCTGCAGTCATGTTGGACATCATGGTTGAATTGTACATTGACTGATTCAGGTGATAATTGTTCATTAGAGGTCCAAGCAGACTCTGGAAGACCAGGCTGATGGTGCCATTGACCAGGCCTCCATTTCCGGGGTGAAGAACCAACTCAGCCTTCTGTTCCGGGCTCAGCAGTGCCAGGACTGATAGCTGTGGGAGAGAGAACTTTAATCTTGATTCCTGTACCATCCTATAACATCTTAATGACATCCTGTATCTTCCTGACATTACAGTCCCTGCTTTATTAAGAGCCCCTATAAAGTTCTATACTTACACCACTGAAATTCATGTTCAGTGCAAAGAAGTCTTCATAGTCAACCAAGGTAGAGAAGGATCTGAAGTTCTGCATCAGCCACTGCTCACTGCTGTTCCCATGGATGAGGCATCCTTTTTTAGAACACAAACAGAACTCTTAAATCACATCCTACAGATTACCGCATTCACCAGCTAAGTACAAAATGCCAACAATTCCAATATACTGAGTGACAATATCCATCAATAATGAAATAAATAGGCTACCTGCTGTATCATTTCTCTCTAGAAACCTGCGCATGAAGGACGTGTAGACCATCCTTTGGCGTTGAGGGTCCATACTCAGGATATTCATATCCAATTCATGTACACAAAAAATTATCACAACAAATTATTGGAAACACAAGTATTGGAAACACACAAAAAATCACTTGGGAAAATGGGAAACTCACAGAGCCTGGTAGGTCTGGCAGGTGAGGTCGCTTGTACTGAGACAGGAGAGGAGGCTTTCTGAGACAGAGGCCAGGCGTGGCCTGAGCTTGAGCTGGAACCACACTCTGGTGAAATTGACGTCGTGGAACCTGGGCTTTGAGGTGTTGAAGCTGAGCCCATTGATCAGCTCCAGGATGGGCTGCAGATCCCTGCTCAACCTCTGTATGGGAAATAACAGTGATGTCAGCATAAAGCACATAAAAGTCCACTTCATGCTGTTATAACATGTGATGGAAATGTTAATGTTGGTGCTTTCCTATTCTATACACTTCTATATTCTATTCATGTGCTGTTCTAATAACACATTTCTGTGTTCATGTAAGTGACTGATCGGACGAATCCTCACGTATCAGTATCTGCAATTTGGCAGTATGCCCAGACCTTGTTTTGAGAACGTGAGGAGAAAGATATCTCAGTTTCAAGGTCTCAGCTTAGAGAGAAGAAGCCTTGTGAGGTATTGGTCTGTCACATGTTTCCTTCTACCACTCTAAATTCCAAGCATCTGCCTCTAACCCTAGGAAGCTCTTTGCCACATTTTCCTCCCTCCTGAATCCTCCCCCCCCCCCCCCCCTCCTCTCTCTCTGTGGATGACTTCGTCAACCACTTTGAAAAGAAGGTTGACGACATCCGATCCTCGTTTGTTAAGTCTAATGACACTGCTGGTCCTGCTCACACTGCCCTACCCTATGCTTTGACTTCTTTCTCCCCTCTCTCTCCAGATAAAATCCTGCGACTTGTGACTGCAGGCCGCCCAACAACCTGCCCGCTTGACCCCATCCCCTCCTCCCTTCTCCAGACCATCTCCGGTGACCTTCTCCCCTACCTCACCTCGCTGATCAACTCATCCTTGACCGCTGGCCATGTCCCTTCCGTCTTCAAGAGAGCGAGAGTTGCTCCCCTTCTCAAAAAACCAACACTCGACCCCACTGATGTCAACAACTACAGACCAGTATCCCTTCTTTCTTTTCTTTCCAAAACTATTGAGCGTGCCGTCTTTAGCCAACTCTCTTGCTATCTCTCTCAGAATGACCTTCTTGATCCAAACCAATCAGGTTTCAGGACTGGTCATTCAACTGAGACTGCTCTTCTCTGTGTCACGAGACTCTCCCGCACTGCTAAAGCTAACTCTCTCTCCCTCTGCTCTTGTCCTTCTAGACCTGTCTGCTGCCTTTGATACTGTGAACCATCAGATCCTCCTCTCCACCCTCTCCGAGCTGGGCATCTCCGGCGCGGCTCCCTCCTGGATTGCGTCCTATCCAAATGATCGGAATCAACTAGACAAAGTCTACTAAGTACATAAGGCTAATAACATAACATATGTATTTAACTCACAAGACATGGTCGAAGACAGCAGTAAGGTCGTGTGGGATCTGAGTCTGGTTGTTGGGCTGGAAGCGTCTCAGGGCAGGGAGGACCACATGCTGGAACCAGTCCTCAAGGCTGGTGATGCTGAAGTTACTGAGAGAGGGAGTCTGGCTGGGGACTGTCTCATTCGTCAGTGTGAAGTTGGGGGAGAAGTGTCCAGCTAGCTCTGCCAGGATCCAGTTCACTACTGCCTGGGCCAGAACATGCCGTCTCTCCGAGCTCACATTTCTCTGTGGGGAGACAGTACATAGTGCATAGTACATAGTTTCAGATTGGACTTACATTCAACACTAGGGAAAGGAAATCATTTGTTCATACTTGTGAGATTGTAAAAGACAACACATACCGCTCGAATGCTGCCCACCAAGGTCTTGATGAAACTACCCAAGGGCCTCAGGAATGACAGGAAGTTGTTTAGAGTCTGCAACCATAGATTTGTAATCATTAGTTGGTTCATACTGTACATGGAGTTGATGACAGCAAAAGAAACAGCCTTTTCAACATATTTTAGTTGTATTGTTTGTATATCCTTGTATTTGAAATTTGTTTGACTGTTCTTGTCTATCAGTGTTTTGTTACTTGTCATGTTTTGTGTTTTTTTGTGGACCCCAGGAAGAGTAGCTGATGCTTCTGCAAAAGCAAATAGGGATCCAAATAAATAAAAAAGAAAGAAAGAAACACATAACCCACTCTATCAAGTTCATGTGGTCCTGTGGCATTGCCTGCAGTCATGTTGGACATCATGGTTGAATTGTACATTGACTGATTCAGGTGATAATTGTTCATTAGAGGTCCAAGCAGACTCTGGAAGACCAGGCTGATGGTGCCATTGACCAGGCCTCCATTTCCGGGGTGAAGAACCAACTCAGCCTTCTGTTCCGGGCTCAGCAGTGCCAGGACTGATAGCTGTGGGAGAGAGAACTTAATCTTGATTCCTGTACCATCCTATAACATCTTAATGACATCCTGTATCTTCCTGACATTACAGTCCCTGCTTTATTAAGAGCCCCTATAAAGTTCTACACTTACACCACTGAAATTCATGTTCAGTGCAAAGAAGTCTTCAAAGTCAACCAAGGTAGAGAAGGATCCAAAGTTCCGCATCAGCCACTGCTCACTGCTGTTCCCATGGATGAGGCATCCTTTTTTAGAACACAAATAGAACTCTCAATCACATCCTACAGATTACCGCATTCACCAGCCAAGTACAAATATATTGAGTGACAATATCCATCAATAATGAAATAAATAGGCTACCTGCTGTATCATTTCTCTCCAGAAACCTGCGCATGAAGGACGTGTAGACCATCCTTTGGCGTTGAGGGTCCATACTCAGGATATTCACATCCAATTCATGTACACTAAAAATTATCAAAACAACAACAAATCAAGTATCGGAAACACACAAAAAATCACAGGGAAAATGGGAAACTCACAGAGCCTGGTAGGTCTCGCAGGTGAGGTCGCTTGTGCTGAGACAGGAGAGGAGGCTTTCTGAGACATAGGCAAGGCGTGGCCTGAGCTTGAGCTGGAACCACACTCTGGTGAAGTTGACGTCGTGGAACCTGGGCTTTGAGGTGTTGAAGCTGAGCCCATTGATCAGCTCTAGGATGGGCTGCAGATCCCTGCTGAACCTCTGTATGGGAAATAACAGTGATGTCAACATAAAGCACATTACGTCCACTTCATGCTGTTATAACATGTGATGGAAATGTTAATGTTGGTGCTTTCCTATTCTATACATTTCTATATTCTATTAATGTGCTGATCTAATAACAATTTCTGTGTATATGCAAGTGACTGATCGGACAAATCCTCACTTATCAGTATCTGCAATTTGGCAGTATGCCCAGACCTTGTTTTGAGAACGTGAGGAGAAAGATATCTCAGTTTCAAGGTATCTGCTTAGAGAGAAGAAGCCTCGTGAGGTATTGGTCTGTCACATGTTATTTACCAGTATTGGTCGGTCACATGGATGAAACAAAACGGTAATGATTAATTAATTATGCTAAATCATGCAAATATAACTTGTCTGTGTATAGCCGTATATAAGATAACTGCTGGGACTGCCCCGGGGGCTTCTGACAGATGTGCACTATGGTGCATTGAGTTGGTTGGAACCTCTCCAGCGTGCTGACAAAAACTATGATTCATTTAAGTTTGACTTTGAGTGTCCCTGTGTAAGAATTCCCACAATGGCATTTTGTCAATTTTCCCCTGAAACTGTTGATCAAATGTGTCTCTCTTGTTGTACTGTACCATGAAGGAGTCTGAGTAGAATTGAAAGGCCTCTTCCATAACTCCTTTGAGCCTGTCGATGTGCTCCTGTGTGTCGTTGATCCTCCTCAGCCCAGCACAGCTTAGGAAGCTGTCAAATGTCGCATTTGAAAACTAAAAAATATAGTGATATAGAGATAAAAATATGAATCTCTTGTTAAGGAATTTTCTGTGAGGTATTTGTGTAACTTGTAGGGGGGGGAAACTCACAGGAGCACATGCACCCTCAGTCCTGTTACACATTCCACCGGTGGAGTTTCCATGGGTGCTAGTGATTACATAGATCACAAGTTAAGTCAATCTCTTAGCCCCCTGTCTAATCAGTTTTACATGACCACAGTGGCAATGAAACAAGAAACATACCCAATTTTATTTAACTTACCTATTTCCCCCATCGCACAATGTAATACACTAAAAAAAAGAGATTGTGATATCAGCATAGCTTGAAACACATTGACATATGCTGCATTATCATATGGATTTAATCAAATTGTCACAATCAAACTGGTTTTTGATGACTTAACACACCACAATAGGTACATCCACTACAACTGATCCCATCATTCATCAGTTGAGAGGCTCTTAGCAAAACCAGTTTTTATTTTTAGGAACAAGAGCTACTGTTACCAAGTGTTTCGGATCTTGAAAACCCTGTTGTTGTGTATAGACAATAATGTATGTTACCTTGGCTGACCCAACGGTGAAGAAACCTAAAATAAACAGAACATTAAAATGAAAGCATGAAACAGTAGGCAACTTGGCTCTGTTTTATGTGTAACATTGAGTGCCAGCCTTTTATTCTCATATGCATGTCTTTAAATCAATTAAGAACAAAGTTAACAATGGAGGAGAAGGACATTTACCCACCTGATCCCAGGACAGCTAAGGTGAGGGCAAGACAATACCCATGATGTCTCATTTTGGCACCACAAGTCATTGGCTCATCCAAGAACTACATTTATGTAAAAAGACAGACTTGATAAAGTCACAACAGATTCACACCTTGTTTCTTCCCCTACTATACCACCACCAATGACAGTGGGGCAGAGAGATTCTAAAAGCCGTAATAAAATGGACATCTTACAGAAATCATATTCATGTTAAATTGTTGTACTGATGCTCAGTATTGACATAGATCTTACATGAAGATCTTTTGATTTGTGCAAGTCATTGAAAATATGGTTTGTTAGCTATTTCCACTCTATTCTGTCTTTTTCCTTCACTTTGTCACCCACATACCGATAGGTTGGTCACCAGTACAATGCCACCCATGCAGCCTCTAAAACAGTAAGCTGTTTTCAAGGGGATCTTGTGTGTGCTCGAAAAGTACCCAAAACCTTGTCTAAAAGTTATGTTATAATTCAAATATATCTAGACAGTTTCCTGAGACCAAAAATGATTTTAAGTATGCCTATACCAAGATGACAGTAATAAGATTTCACCGTAAAGACAGGGTAACGCCATCTATCCCCAGGCATGTATTCTCATTAATCATATACAAGGAAAAACTTTTGACTCTTTTGGTTTCAGCTAATATGAAACACTATTATAGGTATGGAAAATTTGTAAAAACAAATAATAATGACATACAATAATTTGGCAAAACTAATATTTTTCAAGAATAAATTATTATGTTCATCCATCTATTCATAATTTGCAAAGTGAAAAAGTAATCCTTTACGTTTTTAATAAACATTTTATCATATTCATATTTATCATATTCATAATAGTAAAAGGACAATGAAGGGCTCACCTGACCTGACTGGCTGACGATGTGAGGTACCACTGAGCGAGAATGGATAAGTGAGTGACATATGAGACACCCACAGGAAACATTCCTCAAAAAGGGTGGGGAAGGGTGTGCACAACAAGCAGCCCAACATAAAAGATGGATTAAGATGAGATTTCACTTGGATTAAGGACAACCAAAGTTGACAAACAAGCTATACCAGTATAAAGTTATTAAAATCTGGATAAATAAACTGACAAAACGATTCAAAAAGTAATTCCTCCTGTACGTGTTTTTGCATGCATGTACACTGAGTTTACAAAACATTAGAAACACCTGGTTTTTTCCATGACAGACTGACCAGGTGAATCCAGGTGAAAGCTATGATCCCTTATTGATGTAACTTGTTAAGTCCACTTCAATCAGTTTAGATGAAGGGGAGGAGACACGTTAAAGAAGGATTTTTAAGCCTTGAGAAAATTGAGACATGGATTGTGTGTGTGCCATTCAGAGGGTGAATGGGCAAGACAAAATATTTAAGTGCCTTTGAACAGGGTATGGTAGTAGGTGCCAGGCTCTCCGGTTTGAGTGTGTCAAGAACTGCAACGCTGCTGGGTTTTTCATGCTAAACAGTTTCCGGTGTGTAGCAAGAATGGTTCACCACCAAAAGGACATCCAGCTAACTTGATACAACTGTGGGAAGCATTGGAGTCAAAATGGGCCATCATCCCTGTGGAATGCTTTCGACACCTTGTAGAGTCCATGTCCCGACGAATTGAGGCTGTTCTGAGGGCAAAAGCAGTGCAACTCAATATTAGGAATGTGTTCCTAATTATGTAAATATTAATCCAACAATACAGCATCTGTTTGCTCTCTAGGCTAGGGTATATTTGTACGAAACAAACACAAGGCCAAAAATAAAGAAATGTGCACACTCTATTATATTGTATGACTGAACCTTCGTGACACAGACGAAGGCACTCTGTGCCGAAACATTGGTTCAGTCATGTAATAAACATGAAAAAATTTTTGGGGTAAAAACAAAAACAGAACATCTAGGAATATTATAGATTGTGTGACTTTCTTTAAAAAATTCTAAGTTGATGATCTGTTAATATGTACCTCATTAACATTTGCTGAGTGTTTGTCTTCAGCTTCAACAATACATAATAAATAGAGAGCCAACATCACTTTGACTTGACACTGCTTTGCTGCTCTTCATTGACATGTAATTTCCCCCCATCTTCTTTGCCTTCTTTTGCCAAAGGCGGTTTAGTGGGTTAACTTGGGGGGTTTCAAGGGGCATTCTGTGACAAATATGCTTGTAAAAAGCTTTGTAAAAATGAAATGGGAACTTATATGTAAATAGAAAACTATGTCAATCTAAAGTAATGTGTAGGTAATGTGTAGAGTACACTACGTTCCAGTAGGTTTCTTGAAATGAAAACAATGTGATCGTGGATGACAATTATAGGTATAAACTTGACAACAAACTCGATCAAGAAACACAATCGAAACAGAGATGAGGACCAAGGCGCAGCGTTGCAGGCAAAAAATACTCTTTATTAGAGACACGATCAAAAACAACAAACGAAAACGTGACAGTTCACGGTGTAACACAACCGACTAGAAACAAGATCCCACAAAACTCTGTGGGGAAACAGGCTGCTAAAGTTGGTTCTCAATCAGAGACAACAAGCAACAGCTTAAATCACGGTGCCTCTGATTGGAACCACACTGGCCACATAGAACAACAACTTACTAGAATGTGAAACTAGAACAAAACACATAGGACTTTACACACCCTGGCTCCAACATTATTAGGTCCCCAGAGCAAGGCGTGACACAATCAAACAATGCATTCTCCTTGGTGAGAGAAAAAAACAAGCATTGCAAGACCCTAGTTGTATGAGGTTGTTAGTACAGTGAGGGAAAAAAAGTATTGATCCCTGCTGATTTTGTACGGTTGCCCACTGACAAATAAATGTCCGTCTATAATTTTATGGTGAGGTTTATTTGAACAGTGAGGAAACGAAATAACAACAACAAAAATCAGAAAAACGCATGTCCCAATGTTATAAATTGATTTGCATTTGAATGAGGGAAAAAGATTTGACCCCTTTCAATCAGAACAGATTCTGGCCCCAGGTGTCTTTTATACAAGTAACGAGCTGAGATTAGGAGCACACTCTTAAAGGGAGTGCTCCTAATCTCAGCTTGTTACCTGTATAAAAGACACCTGTCCACAGAAGCAATCAATCAATCAGATTCCAAACTCTCCACCATGGCCAAGACCAAAGAGCTCTCCAAGGATGTCAGGGACAAGATTGTAGACCTACACAAGGCTGGAATGGGCTACAAGACCATCACCAAGCAGCTTGGTGAGAAGGTGACAACAGTTGGTGCGATTATTCGCAAATGGAAGAAACACAAAATAACTGTAAATCTCCCTCGGCCTGGGGCTCCATGCAAGATCTCACCTCGTGGAGTTGCAATGATCATGAGAACGGTGAGGAATCAGCCCAGAACAACACGGGAGGAACTTGTCAATGATCTCAAGGCAGCTGGGACCATAGTCACCAAGAAAACAATTGGTAACACACTACGCCGTGAAGGACTGAAATCCTGCAGCGCCCGCAAGGTCCCCCTGCTCAAGAAAGCACATATACAGGTCCGTCTGAAGTTTGCCAATGAACATCTGAATGATTCAGAGGAGAACTGGGTGAAAGTGTTGTGGTCAGATGAGACCAAAATCGAGCTCTTTGGCATCAACTCAACTCGCTGTGTTTGGAGGAGGAGGAATGCTGCCTATGACCCCAAGAACACCATCCCCACCGTCAAACATGGAGGTGGAAACATTATGCTTTGGGGGTGTTTTTCTGCTAAGGGGACAGGACAACTTCACTACATCAAAGGGACGATGGTCGGGGCCATGTACCGTCAAATCTTGGGTGAGAACCACCTTCCCTCAGCCAGGGCATTGAAAATGGGTCGTGGATGGGTATTCCAGCATGACAATGACCCAAAACACATGGCCAAGGCAACAAAGGAGTGGCTCAAGAAGAAGCACATTAAGGTCCTGGAGTGGCCTAGCCAGTCTCCAGACCTTAATCCCATAGAAAATCTGTGGAGGGAGCTGAAGGTTCGAGTTGCCAAACGTCAGGCTCGAAACCTTAATGACTTGGAGAAGATCTGCAAAGAGGAGTGGGACAAAATCCCTCCTGAGATGTGTGCAAACCTGGTGGCCAACTACAAGAAACGTCTGACCTCTGTGATTGCCAACAAGGGTTTTGCCACCAAGTACTAAGTCATGTTTTGCAGAGGGGTCAAATACTTATTTCCCTCATTAAAATGCAAATCAATTTCTAACATTTTTGACATGCGTTTTTCTGGATTTTTTTGTTGTTATTCTGTCTCTCACCGTTCAAATAAACCTACCATTAAAATTATAGACTGATCATGTCTTTGTCAGTGGGCAAACGTACAAAATCAGCAGGGGATCAAATACTTTTTTCCCTCACTGTATGTGATTACAGGTTACCAAGTTATTGTACTTTATAAAACACTATGAACAACACCATGCAAGTTCTGAACGTCACACAAGAATGCGACACTAAATCTCAAGTTACAGTACCAGAGAACATTATTTAGGACCCATGGAGCTTGAATAGGACATATGCACTAAGACCATTATTGGGAAGAAAAATGTAAACTATTTTACAGTGATATGTTTATTATCGCAAAATGATTTAGGCTAGATAGTCATTAATGTCACCACTTTGGTTACACAATATTGTGCTTCAAACATCTTTCAATGCTCTAACTTCTGTAATTTAACTGCTGTAATTTCAAGTTATGCGCAACACTTCAGTCTAGGGATCTAGACATTAGTAAAGGTGTATTCTGTCAAGGTGGCAGTTCCAAAAGCTACAAGGATATTCATTAAAAAGGTTGACATAGATTTAAATGGTTGACAATATTCACAAAAAACAATAGGCTTCTTCTGTATGTTTGTGGGTTCAGAAAGATTACCTCCTTAGACAAAAGTGGCTTAGGTTAGGTGTCTCTGATGAAGCTATCAGAAAATTTGCATCTAGGAGGAGAGATCATTACATTTACATCATTTAGCAGACGCTCTTATCCAGAGCGACTTACAGTTAGTGAGTGCATACATTATTTTTTATACTGACCCCCCGTGGGAATCGAACCCACAACCCTGGCG